ACACACACACACCGTAAGGTTTTTCTACTGTTCTAACTGTATATTCTATCCCCTTCCCCTATCCCCAAACCGACCCCTCACAGGACACATTCTGCATTTTTACATTTTCAAGAAAACATTACTGAGTGTGATTTATCCGCTGTTTTCCTCAGGGGGACCGCTGGCTGGACCCCACAATCTAGCTGATTTCAGGTTTTACTATACTTGTGGGGACATTTGGTCCCCACAATGTAATATAAACAGAAACACACAAACACACACACACTCACCTCGATGATGATGATGGTGAAACCCATGGAGATGAAGATCGATGTTCCTCAGTAGTCTGTGATTCTGTCCGATTCTCCGAGACTCTGATGCTCAATTCTCGAGGTGACTCTATAAATCTCTCTCTCTCACACACACACACACACACACCCCCTCTGCCTCTCTTTTTTTTTCTCTCACACTCCCTCTCAGACACACACACACACACACACACTCTCTCTACAGATGTCAGCTGTTTTAAGTGAACTTGTCTTGATCTGACATCACACTGATCTGTAAAATCAGATCTTTTTAAAAAAAATATATAATCAACGTTTTGTTTTCGTCATTAGGCTTCATTAAACGGACTTATGAGTTGAATCTTGCATCACTTTAGAAATAAGTTAAGCAATTTTCAAATTTTTTTTAAGTTAAAGTTATATATTTATCTGCCCTGCTGATGTCCAGGAGTGGTCGTGTTCTGCTCTCTTCATGTCTCATCACGAGCGTCAGTTTATAATGCTGGATCCTGCAGTGCATGCTGGGAAACATTGAGCTCAACAATCACCACAGAACACTGATTATCATTATCATCATCACACTGGCGCATCATCAACAGTCATTTCTGTAAATTATGGACTGGTATTGTCTTGTGGAAAGTAAATATCTGTTATGTCAAATATAGATACAAAATAAATAAATGCAATTTATAAAATCCTGAATATTTTGCAGTTTCTAGTTTGTGATATTTGTTTTATTGCTTCTTAATTTGAAGATTGATTCATATGTATCGAGACATTTTTTATCGTATTGTAATTTAGTTGTGTGCTTTAACGGCTTCTGGAAATGCCACAAAAATGTCAGTGAAATGTTTTCATCTCTTGAGTCCGTCAAGGACAGTCAGTAATATAAACATATTGATTTCCATCATCATTAGTAAAATATTCATTGATTAATTAGATCTAGAGCCCAGTTGGACTGTCGATTGTGATGTTTCTTGTTAAAACTACAACGAAAAGTCATTAGACATAATATTTACAGCAATATGTTATTGTATGTATTGAGTTTATGACATTCCAAGTACAAAAAAATGGAGTGACTGATTTGACTAGTTTTCCTCGAGTAACGTGTGTGTGTGTGTGTGTGTTCGACTTTAATACAGCGACACCTGCTGGACACACACTCACACACAGACTCCTCTAATCTCTTCAGGTGTGTGTGTGTGTGTGTGTGTGTGTCACTTTCATCTTCACGGTTCATCCATCTCTCAAGACATCGAGCTTGCAACAGTTTCTAGAACTCAGAACATTAATTTAGCTTTTATTTATTCATTTATTTAGTTTGTTGTTGAAGGTACGACCACGCTTCATTCCCCTGATCATGATTTACAAATTTAACATGACTGGTCTGATCAAAGTGTTTTAAGATGACAATCTTTACAAATTTTTAAATAATTAAATAAAAATGTTTTTAATAAAAATAAATAACTTACGGCACAAAAATGATTCCCAGACAGCTGCGTTTCATCTCTCGAGTCTCTTTATTTAATATTGGAATTATGTACAGAGTCATAGAATCTATATTGTAAATGAAACAAGCAAGACACTTTTCCGTTCTCTCCGCTGATAATCTTTGGATCGCAGGAACGTTCCTCAAAAGCCCGACAGAAGGAGTGACGTACAGTGTGACGCGAGCGATGACGTATCACGCTATTCTGAACAACAATGACCTTAAATGAGCTTAATGTACGAATGTATGTGTATTGACCGCTGTTTTTATTGCCAATGTGAGGGAGCTTCAAAAACGAGACGTCCTCGACCTCAGACACGGTTGTCTATGAAAGCCGGATCTTTCTGTGAAGGATGTTTTTACTGTTTTTAAATCAAAAGTGTGTGACGCTAACACTCGCGAGAGTCTGTCTTATACGGCGTTCATCATTCAGGGAGTGTGTATCTCCTCATGATCTGAACACGTCTACAAAACAAGGGAACATGTGGTATAAAAAGAAGTGTGAGCGGTCAGATGCATGAAGGACGAAGCGGATGAATGTGTGTTCACACACCGGAAGAATGCGCTCAGACTCGCGGATGACGACTGGCTCTCCTGAATCCCCGTGGAGGAACGAGACGCCCCGTGATGACGAGCCGTAGATACAGTAATGTACAGATAATCCCCATAATCCCCGGCAGAGGAGAGTGATTATACAGCGTCTCGATCAGGGACGGCTGAGAGAAACACATGAACACACGTCACACACACCAACATGTTCTCCCATCGACACTACACACACACGCAAGATCAATGGCGGTTCAGTCCCTCAGCTCGACTATATTATACAGACATCCATTAACACTGAGTTCATCCAACACCGATAATACACATCCGGCGGAGAAATGAAGCTTTCCAAAACTTTGAAACAGACAATCTTTTGTGATGCATCAATTCAAAGCAATTACCAAATCATCAAGTATCATTAAATACGAGTTATCAGTATCTATAATATATTTTCTTTTATTAAATTGCAGGGCCGGTTTGGTTAATTAGGCCGGTAAAGACTTATTTAAAGGGGTCACGACTGATCTTTTGACATATAGCATTAAAATATCCTGAGGGTTTCAGTTTTAAACGCCCTCAATAAAAGCAGCTCCAATATCTTCATATTACTGGATCTGTGACGTCACATGAGCAAACACATCTGCATACGCCCGCCCCCAGAGAAAGACATCGACCAATGGGTGTGTACAGCACCAAACCACAGGCCCCGCCCACTGGCTGGGTTATTTGAATGGTGCTGTTAAATGATGATGTTTTTTAAAACCCTAGCGAGTGGACGTCGTTGATACTGTTTCCTATGCAGTGACGTCAGCCAATCAGAAACAGCGGGCGTTTACTGACGCACATTAAAAACTGATCATATATATATAAAAAATAAAAATGCATGTCATGACCCCTTTAACTAAATATTTATATAAAATAAAACCTGTCAAGACTGATGTAATGAAGTCTCCTGCTTTACTCTTTATATCGTCTCCAAATGTAACCATGATGGTTTTATTGACCATGCACATGTGATCATTTCATGCAAATGTAAAGTCTCACCTGGGATTCAGATCCTAGAACAGATTCTTGCTTTTCTGTGAAGGAAGAGAGAAAGAGTTCGAGAGACGTGACCTTAGTAGTAAAAACTGCTCAAATAAACATATTAGACACAGTTATTGTATATCAGCAGAGATCTGCTCAAGCTAGTTTCGTTTTTCTAACAGGACTGGAGAATTACATTTAGAAAGTAATGTAAAGTTGCTCGGCCTGAAAAAATAATACACTTTTTTTAAATGTAGTCAATCCCCAAAATCTTTCAGGTCATGTTTTCATATAACTAGCAGATATGTTCTTAAATATTTTTGGAATACGGTGGAATGATTAAGATTTATTAATATTGTTGAAAGAGTCTCTTCTGCTCACCAAAGCTGCATTATTTGATCAAAAATAAAGTTATTGTAATGTAAATCATCTGTTTTCTATATGAATATACAGTGAAGTGTAATTTATTCCTGTGATAAAGCTGAGTTTATCATCATTCAGTGTCACATGACCCTTCAGAAAACTTAATAAATATTCCAAACTGGTTTATAACTGATGATGAAAAGAACGACACTGATCCGTCTGCACAAAACTACACAAAACTACACACTTACCAGACATTAATCCTCAGCTCTTCTAGTTTCATCACTTCAACACAACCGGACAGAACAGAAGAACACGCAAGACAGAACACACACACACACACACACACACACACACACACACACACACAAGAAAGAAGAGCAGAAGCGAAGATGTGGCGGAAAACAAGAGTTTAATAGAAATAACTCAAAGACATACAGTGAAAAAAGAAACAAACGAGCAACTTAAGCAGAACGATGACATCATGATATGAGAAAACACACACACACACACACATCTTTACACGAGATCTGTGAGTGAGCGCTACTCACTGTAAAGTATTATCTTTAAACATACAAAAGGTATTAGTATTTCCAAACTTTAGAGAAAGAAGAGGCTTTTCAAATGAAAAGTGAAATATTATATATATATATATATATATATCTGGCCAACGATTAATCACGTCCAAAATAAAAGTTTGTGTTTACATAATATATGTGTGTGCACTGTAAATAATTATTTTATATATATTATTATATATATATATAATATTGATATTTATATATAATATAAATTATATATATATATATATATATGCATGAATATATTTAAGATATTTGAATAACACATTTTTCTTAAATATATACATGCATTTGTGTGTATTTATATATACAATATAATTATATAAAGTCCACACACATATATTATGTAAACACAAACTTTTATTTTGGACGTGATTAATCGTTGCTCAGATATATATATATATAATGTATTACTGGCGTGTCAGTCTCTGAGGAGCAGATCGTGTGTATCAGGCTCGTGGTAAGAGTGTGTGCCGTGTAAAAGTGTGTCAGCTGACAAACAAAACCCAAACACACACTCTCTGAAGCCAGTCGTCCTGGAGGTGCTGATGATGTCCAGCCGGTCACACGCGCGTGTGTGTGTGTGTGTGTGTGTGTGCGCGCGAGTCGAGGCCAGCGTCAGATGGAGGTCTCCAGGCGCTTCAGGGGCTTTACCTTTTTCTTGGCCTGCAGCATCTCCTGGTAGGCGCTCGACCTGATGAAGCGGCTGTACGAGTCACTCTTCATCAGCTTATAGATGTGCTCCTGGTGGAGAAACACATGATGATGAAGATGATGAGAAGGAGGAGGAAGAAATCCTCACGCTGACTAGTGTTCTGGGGTCTCATTATAAACCGATATATCTGCCAATAAGGTTTCCTGATTGGCTGACGTGTCGGAGTGGGACTTTTATTTTGACGGGCGGCGCTGATCACACAGTTTATCACACGATCTCTGTCACTCATATCTAACACCGCGTTGACAGAACTGCTAAACAAAGAAAGTAAATGTTATGTGGAAAAGAAATATATTATTTGTAACAGAAAAGGCAAACACTCTCTCGTTTACCGTCAGCGTTCAGCCAATGAGCATCTCTGAATATCTAATAAACATTTAATTTCACAAACCTTGTTGATTTAATGGAATCCAGCTGGGATATCTTGTGTAGTGTGTGTGTGTGTGTGTGTGTGTGGCCGCATACATGTGAGGGAGTGAGTGGATGTATTTTGCCAGTTTTGGCTTTTAGGCGCACACACACCTTTAGATCATTTAAACGATGTATACAACTGTGTGTATGAACACATTTGAAGCTAGATGTACATTTCTGAATATGAACAGATCGCTGTAAACCGTGATGTTCTGAAAGCTGCTTTAAAACGATGTGAATGTGAATATCTGGTCATAATGAGAGGTGTAACCGCACACACACACACCTGAGCGTCTTCGAAAGCGTATCGGCCGGGGTCTTTGACGTTCTGCGTGGTCTTGTCGTAGCTCTTGGAGTCGACGTTGATGGCACTGGGCGCTCCCGGAGCGAGGAACTCTTCCCAGATCTCCTGAACTCTGCTGGGAACCTCCCGGATGGGCCGCTTCTTCAGCTCCTGCACCGACAGCCAGAACCTGCGCACAAGATGCCCTTCAAACCACTGGACTGGACACAGGGACGTCTAATATCCGTCAAACACGGCCCTGACGTCTGGGCTAAAGCCGGGCAACATATCAGTGAACATTTAAAGACCTCGAAACCACAGCCCAGGAATAGACGAGTCGTTTAGTTTCTTTGTTATGTAATTGATGACTCGTCTATTCTAGCAGGTTTAGACGTCTTTTAATCCTCTGATGGTCTTCAAAAAAAGTCACAATTCTGGTCTTCGGGGTCTATCAGACCCCAGACAATAACATTTCATTTTGTAACAGAATAATATATTTTTTTTTAACAAATATAATTTTACTCTGTTTATTCATGTTTTTACTCAACTTTTGTGTAGTTTTTGGAGGATTATTTTTTTATTTCTATAATAAATAAATAAATATTTATTTAAATATTTATTTAACATTTTATGTTAAATAAACTTTATAAAAGACCCAGATTTCTAACTTTCATTCCTGGGGATACCATGGATAATTTTACAAGGTTGAATGTAAGTTTTTTGCCCATTTTTTGGAAAATACAGGTTAAAATTTGTAATAAGTCACTTTAACCACTAGATGACTATAGAGCTCCACTAGGCCTATATACTATTTCAATTACTGAAAGATAATAGTTTCTAAAGTTGGATTCAGTTGGATTCATATCTAAATATTATAAAATCACAATTATAACAAAAATAAAATACTTTTTGTCAAAGTTTAGCATTTGTTTTTGTACTGAAAAAACAACAGTTTTTCAATAATGTTACATTATGATTAGAATCAAACCTGAACATGTTACAAAGAGAAATGTTGGAGTCTTAAGATTTGATCATTTATTTCAACTGAACAGCAAAAACAAATTAGCAAATAAAGCAGTAAAAATAAAATATTTGTTAGAAAAAAAGTAAATTGGGAAGAAAATCGAACAACTAGGAACAATAGAACAATAGTTGGTCTCATCTCTTTTATCTTTTTTATAGCCTTACAAATGTATTCCTGTGTGTGTGTGTGTGTGTGTGTGTGTGCACATTTTCAATGTGTCTTAGTGTTGCAGTGGTTCTGCATTTTAAAGTATTTTATTTTACAAATGATAAGGGAACAGTTTTTATAGTCTGTATGTATTCCTGTTGTATTCCTCTATATGTGTGTGTGCACGTGTGTGTGTGTGCACGTGTGTGAGCATGATTATTTTGGATTGTGGAAGTTTTTTGCATTTTTGAAAGTGTGCCACTTTATTTCTGTCATTTCTGTCTATGTTCTGCGTTATTTCTGATTTTGATGATGAATTTTGTCTATTTTGAGTCCAATGATAAATAAATATTTATTTATTTATTTATTTATAGATATTTAAAAGATATCATAAATCCTCCAAAAACTGCACAAATGTTGAGTAAAAACATTAATAAACAGTAAAATAATATTTGTAAAAAAAAATATATATATATATATATATTTTTTTTTCTGTTACAAAATTAAAGACATGGTAAGTACATGTAACATATGTGTGTGTTACCAAGTGTTCCCAAGCAAAGCACTGGCCAATCAATGTCCAGCGATGCCTAACCCGTCAGCTGGTCTTACCTCAGGTTCTCCGAGCTGAACTCAGACTCCAGGAACTTCAGGAACTGTTCTCTCCCGACTGGATCCTTCAGAACCTCGTTGAACCCGAATCCCCAGCGCTTCACCCGCTGCTGCCCGGGCTCTTTACTGGGAGACGGAGACACGGGATTAACGTTTAATAACTTACACAGCCCAGACGGGAACATAGTGTCAGCCCAGATCCGGCCCACACCTGGGACACGTGCATTCAGTCCATGCCGGATGTGGGCCGGATCTGGGACATTCAGCGTGTGATGTGTTTGTTGTTAGTGGAGAAGATTAACATCAATCAGATTTTAAGTTACATCACTTTAACCCAAATATTCCTGATATGAGCTACAAATGTAAACAAGAAAAGGGAACTTTATTCCACTGTATGTGGGAATGCACTAAAGTTAATCGCTTTTGGGTTAAAATACTTAATGTTATAAGCCAAATCATTAGTAAAGCAATTCCTCTTGATCCAAAGCTGTGTATATTGCATGTTTGTCCTCTCAATTTTAAAATCACCAAACATGAAATATTATTGCTAATTCTTTGTTTGTTAGAAGCTAAATGTGTAATAGCATATACTTGGAAAAAAGAAGAAAGTCCCGGCGTGTCTCAATGGATAAAGGGGATGACCTCACATCTTGCCTTACAAAAGATTACCTACTTTTTGAAAAACAAGCCAGATATCTTTTGGTCCATTTGGAAAGTGTTTTATAACTTTTCGGAGAGTCTAGATGGTGACTCCTTCGTGGAATTGATGGATATTGAGAGTATATAGACAATTCGCCTGTTATCGCTGTTTTTTTTTTTTTTTGCATTATTATTTGTACATTTTCGTTCTTTTTTTATTGTTGTAATGGAAAATGGAAATGTTGTTCGAACTCGTGACGATTTTTGACAAATAAAATTGTTGTTTAAAAAAACATCAATCAGATTGATCTACATAATCTAAAAATCTGTTAGATAGCCCAGACCTGTTCATGACTGCGAGAGTTTCTGAAGAATAAAAGAGTAATAATAGCATTTGATCCTCTTTAAGAACGTGATTCAGGACACTGAAAAGCCTGTTCATTTAATTTACTTAATGAACATTTAATTTTTGAGCGAGTGACACACACCTGGCCTCCAGCTCCCAGGAAGTGATGTCATCAGAGATCCAGGGGTTGGACGGCTCCGGTGTGGTGAAGAACGGGTCGTACTCCACATACTGTTCTGAGTAACCCAGCAAACTACACACAGATTAATCATCGTTAATGATAATCAAGATCTGCATTCAGTTGATTCTGATCATTTTCTATTTCAAATAAATGCTGTTTTTTTAAACTTTCTGTTGATCAAATAATCCTGAAAAATTAAATCTGGGCCGTTGGCTCACCTCTCTGCCACTTTGGACATCTTTAACCGGTGTCGGTCCAGCTGTGTGTGCCAGTGCTGGATCTGGAGATCGTTTGGTCAGGTGATGCACAGTACAATACTCGACAGATCAATGAATGAGGCTCAAGGATCAAAAGATGTGTGTGTGTGTGTGTGTGTGTACCTGGTCCCGCAGCTCGTCCTCCGTGGGCTCCTTCACCTCTGGTATTGGTGTGTGAGTCGGACTGAGGCTCCGGATGTCGTTCTGTAAACCGTAAACTGACTGCAAACACACACACATGACCACAAACTCGTTAGTGTGTGTCTCATTCTTTATAAACGACAGATGATCTCTTTTGGGACACAATAAAATCCTGTGGAGGAGTCTTCAATTTGCTGTTAATGTGTGTGTGTGTGTGTGTACCTTCCGTGTTTTGTGCGGCTGCTTCATCCGTGAGGATTTCTTTATGTCGGCTTCAGTTGTGTTCACACAGCCAGGCTGCAACACACACACACACACACACACGATTATTATTAATGCGCCATCAACACAGTTTTAGACAGTTTAAAGACTCTTAAATCATTAATTGATTATTAAATATGTGTGTGTGTGTGTGTGTGTGTGTGTGTATGAGCTCACCACCGGCCTGTGCACGTCCCAGAATGCCCGCTCCTGACTGTCCAGGATCTTACGCTCGATTTTGTCCCGTTTTTTGTCCACTCTGACAGGAGAGATCACACACACACACACACACTGATGCAGATCTGAGTGTGTTGATGTTTGTCAGAGGTTAAAGACACTGATCTGAGATCTGGTCACTTACTTCGCTTGTGCTTCTGCTTGCATAAATATAAACTCCCATTTACGTGCAAAAGCTCTCTGTAGTCTCGCCAAACTCTCCTGCGGCAAACACACACACACATGAACACACACATGCATGAACACACACACACACAGTATGCATTTGCTTTATTCCATAAAACACAAAATAAGATGTGCGGGAACAATAAAACATTCACATTTTAAAAATGGCTTTTCATTATTTCATAAACAGAGGAAGACGCTTACAGCTTCATAATCGGCCAACTCCAGACGAGCTTTATTCTGCATCGTTCGCTTACAGAGGTAAACGGCTGCAGAGAGAGAGAGACTGTTTTCATACAGGATAGTGTGAATCTTGATGACATCACTGCACTGAAACACACTGATTTGATTTGTTGTTGTGATGACAGGACAGTAAATGAGCTTTATATTATTTTAGTGTTTGTCCAGCAGGGGGCGCAGCTCTCCCGCACACACCAGTCACAGAAACTAATCATTAAAACATGTGGAAATTAGGAACATTTTAAAGTAGAACATTTGTAAGGTCTTAAAAAAAATGGTAAAAAGTTCTGGAAATATTTTATAATGAATATAACATGACAAGCTGTAAAATATTGTATTGAGTAAAAATTGCAGACAAATTGCTATTAAAAAATGAGTAAAAAATATGTTGTTTAAAACAACAACCTGTGATCCGCATCATTTGTTAGAACGAGTGTAAACGCTCATGAATATTCAGTTATTAAAGCTTCTGCAGTTATGTAATTATAATTATTTTATGTAATTGTTTTAACTTTCATTACATGTCACTCTCTCTCTCTCTCTCTCTCTCTCTATATATATATATATATATATATATATGAAGAGTTCAGATGCAAAAGCCTCTAAGTGCCATTTGAAATTTTCTTCTAGAATGATCATTTTTATCAAGCTTGTATATTTAAGTTCACTAATTTCACTTAAATGGCAATGATAATTACCTATTAATTGTTGTTTAAGTGAAATTACTGAACTTAAATATACGAGTTTGATAAAAATCATCATTAAAGAAGAAAATTTCAAATGGCATTTAGAGGCTTTTGCATCTGAACTCTTCATATATGTGTGTGTGTGTGTGTGTGTGTGTGTATTTACTGTAGATTAAATAATTCATTGTAATGAAATGACATCATCTCTTTGAAATCTTCATTTGGGGAGTTTACATGTGATTAATGAACCATCATGTCATTAGTTGGACGAATGTGTGAGTGTGTGTGACAGGAGTGTGTGTGACAGGAGAGATACGGAGTTGAACACCATGTAGAGTGTGTTGATCGATTGTTCTGATGTTGTCCGACACTTTCTCATGTTTCAGGACAGCAGCTCAAGAACAGCAGAGTGAGTGTGTGTGTGTGTTGTGTGTGTGTGTGTGTGTGTGTGCGTGTGTGTGTGTGTGTGTGTGAGTGTGTGTTCTTACCATAGTCAGTGTTCTCTGGCTCCCAGCAGTTTGATGGCCAGAAGTACGGCGTCTGCGATCAGAAACACTCATGAACTCAATCATCATCTCGGAAACATGTGACCTGAACATGAATCACATGATTCGCCAAACAGGAAAATGATGCGGCCGACACGTGTGTGTGTGTGTGTGTGTGTAGAACTGAGGTTTACTGCAATCACTGCAATCAGCAAACCTGCTCATTACCGTGACCATATACATGAATATGAATGACATCATTTATAGGAATAAGCATCAGAATATTCATGAATTTAAATTGGAATATGAATGATATCGTGAACATGAATCAGAATATCAATATGAATATGAATGGCATCAAGTTTCCTCATCATCATATTCATCAACATGAGAGACACAGTACAAACATTATAATGCAATGATCCGTGTCATATCTTGTATACAGTTCTCAGCCAATCACGAGAGGTCTCAGCCGATCACGTGAGGTTCTCAGCCAATCACGAGAGAGAATCTCACCTGAAACCGGTAGAAGGTCCCGTCGTCCTTCAGGATGAGGACGTGATCCGATATGGGGAAGAAATAACCGTGAGCGGCCATCAGTGTTCCCAGATGAAGAGCCTCCACTGCAACACACACACACACACACACACACACCGTTAATCGCCTCATCTCAGGGATTTTTCTGTCTGGAGTCGTTACAGATTTCAGAGGTCCATCAGTGTGTATGTGAGAGTGAGTGAGTGAGAAAGTGTGTGTGTGTGTCCTTACAGAGTAATAAACGTCCTCTGTTTGAGTAAATACAGCCGCTCAGCTCAATTCTACAAAGAACTTAAAGGCAAAGTTCAACTCAACAATAAAGCGCATCATTTCCTCTGGCTCGTGTCAGAGTGAGCGCTAAAGAGGGTTAGCAGAAGAACTAGCATCTCCTCGAGCGACACCATCAGAGATGTGCCGTTTCCAGTCTAGAAATCACTTTTAAAAAGACACAAAGACAGAAATCAGAGCGTTCAAATGAGCCCCGCCTCCACTCCCTCACTCAGAGATCCACTGGCTGACGATCACACGTTGATCTGATTGGTTACAAGGTGGTTTGTGACGTCAGAAACACCAAAGTGTGTTTTTGAGACTGTCTTTGGTTCACTGCAGTTTTAAGGAGGAAATACTCAGCAATAGACAGCCTAAGCCCCTCCCCTTCCGGTCGACCACGTTGGGACCTTATTTCGGAAAGATATTGTACGGTAGTCAATGGCGAGAGACAACAAATATTTTGATCTGGTTTGAATTGTGCCTGAATTACACATATGATGTTTGTCAATTTAAAAGATACATTTTAAAGTAAAGAAAGTCGCAGTTTGATGTAAAACCGTTGAGGTATAAGACATAAGACTACAAATCCCAAAGGCGCACATTTCCTCTCAATGAATGAAGCTAACTTTGCTGAGGCTAATGTCTGTCATTGTTACGTTATAATCATAACTTCACGCCGTCATGCCTGAGTGTTTTGTACCAGACTGCACACACACACATGAGCAGCGGATCTCACTCGTTGTTTCGCTTCCTGGGAGATGTAGTTCATTGAGCGATTTTCACATAAAACTAAAAGTTACTCTTCTGTTTTATGACAAACTGCGACGTTTTCGACTTTCAGAATTATCTTTTAAATTGACAAACATCATATGTGTAATTGAGGGCACAGTTCAGACGGAATAAAGAGATAAGTTGTCTCTCGTCATTGACTCCCATACATATTTTTTCCAAAATAATGTCCCATGAGCCGGAAGCGGAGGGGCGGGACTTAGGCACTCAATGCTGTCCAATTATCAACTTACATATGGTGTGTGTTGAAGGAGCTGGCGTGATCGTCCACGTCTCCTTTGCTTGTAAACCAGCGGCTGATTTTAAGAAGGTCACGTTAGGCTAAACTAATCGAGCTCAGATCAATGCGCTCGTGGATGTAAATGCCAGCGTTTGATTTCCTCCTCAAGGCGTGTGTTCACGGCCGGCACCTTCTGCTTAATTAAATAACCATGAACGGTCCGACAATCTCCAGCTAATGAGTTTACCGCGCTGCGTGTGTGCGAGGAGAAGCGCTACTGTACCTGGATCCTCAATGCTCAGGTTCTTCTGCATCCACTGGACGATCTCAGAGCCTGGAACACACAATGAGGATCTGCATGACACACACACACATCACGCGTGTCCTCCGGCTGACCCCGTGCACACACTCATCCCTCCTTATGCTGTTTAAATGACTAGATTTACTCAATACATAGTACTTTAAGCACATTCTTTCATCTTAAATTAAAAATAACTCACAATTTCATGCATAAACCTTTTAATTCAGCTCTAAATATCTTACATCGGGAGTCTGCAGATCCTCTAATAATAACACATGATATTTCATGACTCTAGATGGGCTTATAGCTCTATCAAAATGAGAATATGGTGCAAAAGTTCATTTATTTCAGTAATTCAACTTAAAAGGAGAAACTAATATATTATATAGACTCATTACATGCAAAGTGAGATATTTCAAGATATTTTGTGATAATTCTGATGATTATGGCTTATAGCTTATGAAAACCTTTTCACAATATTCTAATGTTGAATTTGGGTTTTCATATCTGTAAGCCAAAATTATCACAAAATATCTTGAAATATCTCACTTTGCATGTAATGAGTCTATATAATATATTAGTTTCACCTTTAAAGTTGTTGAAATAAATGAACTTTTGCACCATATTCTAATTTTTTGCGTTTCATCTGTAAATGGAGCATGAGCTGTTCCACTGGGTCCTAAAGTCAGTGCATTCAGACACACAATATAAAATAATAATAAAATATTTTTTTGTTCAAGGTTTAGCATTTTTAGTTAGAATTTTGAGCATTTTTAGGTTTTTAATGTGCCCTGAAGCATTCCTCGCATGGGGTCAAAATGGATTATTACTTTTTAAAACTGTATTCCTGGTTAAAGTCCCCAGATGAACACAGAACAGACATCATGTGTCGTCTCCTCTTCAGAAGCAGCTCTTGACCTGTGTGTTGCAGGTCTCAGATCAGTCAGGTGATCAGTCATGTGATCAGTCAGGTGACGAGGGCTCATTAGCGCAGGCGAACGAGGCGCAGGGAAAGTAGGTTTCGGGGGCAGCCGGTGCGAGAGATGTCTTCAGGGGCCGGAGAAATAAGAGCATCCTGGCTTACATTACACAGATCCTGGACGAGAACATGTTCTGATGGCGATCGCACACCAGACCCAGATCACAGAGAAACTAGAACACTTCCTGCATCGACCCGATCTCAGTGTGAACGCGCTCGTCTGGGCCTCGAGGAGACGGCACACGGGGTTAATACAGATCTCACAACGATTCACGCAACTGCACGATTATTCGCAGAAATAAAAGAAGTAAAGATAACAAAAGTCAAAAAAGACAAAATCATGCTTTCATAAATCATAATTATGGCATAAAAAGTTAAAATTATATCAATTTAATATATTTAATAATTATTATAATATATATTATATATTATATACGTATAATATATATAGATATATATATATATATATATATATATATATTATAATATATATAATAATTTTTAACTTTTTAAGTCATAATTTTGACTTATCTCATTATAATTATGACTTAAGTGAGTTTCAACTGTATGTCATAATTTTGTCTTTTTTTTTGTCCGAATTATGATTTTTTTTAAGTCATGATTTTAACTAATTTCAGAATTACTTTTTTGTTCTCATAATTTTTACTCATAATTTCACATTTTATTCTCATAATTTAAAAAAAAACATCAGCATTTTGTCATTTTAAGTTGAACACAGTTCAAATTTTTCTGGAAGCCGTGACATTGTATCGTTCAGGATTCTTTGATGAAAAGAACAGCATTCATGAGATGGAGCATCTTTTGTTACATTGTATCTTTTGATCAAATTAATGTATCCTTGCTGAATAAAAGAATTAATTTCTTTCAAATAAAATGGTGATTACAACAGTTTTGAACTGCTCATCCAACTTAACACAACTGTTTTAATGAACTGTTTTTCACTAAAGCACTTCTTATGTGAAGTGACACAATACTCCTAACACACAGCGCAGCGAGGGAACTGAAGCATGAGCTCTGGAAAGACTTTCATTTAATGTCACACACACACGAGTAACGAAACTCCATCGAAACAGGACCAAACTCGTGTGATATATGGAGTAAATATTCTGCGACAGTGTTTGTTTCTGGTGTCTCTCTCCGTGCCTCACACACACACACTCTCACACGTGCACACACTCACTCTATGTCTCACACACATACTGTATGTGACTCTCACACACACACACACACACACATGAGCAGCAACACCAGCTGTTCCCAGCAGCTAAATTTATCCTGTTTTAATTATCACTCTGTGGGTCTCAGACACTCACACACACTCTCGCCCTACTTCACACCGCACACACTCCGCCATCTTCGTCTCTGAGCATTATTAACTGTCTTTTTGTGGATTTGCTAAGGCTTTTGAGGGTTTGGTGTGTGTGTGTGTGTGTGTGTGTGTGAGAGAGAGAGAGTCACATACAGTATGTGTGTGTGCGTGTATGTGAGACAGAGTGAGAGTGTGTGTTTGTTGTGATCTGTATGTTTATTTCAGAAACATGTGTGTTTACAAACAGAGCGAGCGAGAGAGTGTGTGTGTCGAGTGTTTCTCTTTGGCTCTGCTCCGGAAAACCATGAGCGTTTGAAGAGTGTGATAACAAGATGGATAGTGTGTGTGTGTGTGTGAGTCTCATATACAGTATGTGTGTGAGTGAGTGAGTGTGTGTGTATGTGAGAGAGTGTGTGTGTGTGTGTGTTTGTTGTGGACTATATGTTTATTTCAGAAACGTGTGTTCCGTTGAGTGTGTGTGTGTGTGTGTGTGAGAGAGAGAGTGTATCGGTTGCTCTGCTCCAGAAAGCACGAGCGTTTGAAGAGGTTCTACATTTCAAAATGTCATTATTGAAGATGCTTATATAAGACACTCGATTATATAACAGCAGAAACAGCAGAGGAGGATCTGAAGTCTCACACACACACAACTCTCATCATCATCATCATCATCATCATTACCATCATCATCCTCTCAGTGCGGTTCTCCCATGATGCATCAGTTCTGTGGGTCCTAATTAATGCGTTCACAGAATAAAAGCCTGATGATCTGATGAACAGGGAACACCTCCTCCACTAAATATCTGTCAGGATCTCTCAGGGCTCCATGTAAAGGCCAAAACATGAGCGCTCTGTAAAGCGGATCTGTGTGTGTTTGCGCGTCAGTGACCTCTCTTCAAAGCCGTGTGTGTGATGTGTTTGAAGTGTGTGTGTTTGATGGCTCTGCTCTGTTTGTCCTCATCTGAGAGGCTCCTCAGGATGTTCTGGGATCAGTGTTTGGATTGTGGGACGGTTTCCTCATTAGCACTCGCGTCTCCTCGGGAATCTCTCAGCACGTCTCAGCACACAGAGTCTTGAGGACTATTAAAAGGTTTCCGTCACTGTCAGGAGTCTCAGAGTTTGACTCAGAGCCACTAGCTTTATATCGCAGTGACAGTTCATATCACATCTGCTTTATAATTATTGTTAGGAATGATTTCGTGTTCGTATAGAAGAGGAGCGATTCATCAGTTTTGCCGATATATCGGTACCGATAGTTGATTGGTGGAACTATCGTTATCGTTAAAAAAAATAAAATCACACCGATAGTTTTTCGGGGTTGTGTCTGTTGCTGGAGTGGCTGGTGTTACACAGAGCGAGAGCGCCATCTAGAGGACACGTTTAGTGTCACACGTGAGGCTTCGCGGACAGCGCTGACACTTCAGATGCGCATTTAAAACACCGACTGCGAAACGGTGTGAATACAGAACACTACAGTCCATATTGCCATATCATTATAAAGTCATTAATTAGCCTGCCGACGCTCCGTAACGTTTAAAGGAGTAGTTCACTTTTGAAAAAACTTTTGCTGATAATTTACTCGCCCCCGTGTCATCCAAGATGTCCATGTCTTTCTTTCTTCAGTCGAAAAGAAATGAAGGTTTTTGATGAAAACATTCCAGGATTTTCTCCATATAATGGACTTCAATGGGGTCCAAACGGTTCAAGGTCCAAAAGACAGTTAATAACAGTTTCAGATGCAGCTTCAAATGTCTTTAAACGACACCAGACGATGAATAAGGGTCTTATCATGCGAAACGAGCGGTTATTTCAAAACTTATTCCAAAAATGTAACTTTTCTGAGGACAAATGCTAGCCTTGCTCTATTCTGTGAGGCGCGTTTGTAACGTCACGTAATACGTAATTACGTTCAAAAGGTCACGGGCGACGTAGCCGGAAGTACAGAATCAAAATCGTCCGACATCGTTGTTTTTCCTTTTAATTCCTTTTTTGTAAACGGCATTTGAGTTAGTTTGCACGTTCAACCTATGCGTTCAACTTGTAAACACTCTGACTCTGTACTTCCGGCTACGTCGCCCGTGACCTTTTGAACGTAATTACGTATTACGTGACGTTACAAACGCGCCTCACAGAATAGAGCAAGGCTAGCATTTGTCCTTAGAAAAGTTACATTTTTGGAATAAGTTTTGAAATAAAGCGATCGTTTCGCATGATAAGACCCTTATTCATCGTCTGGTGTCGTTTAAAGACATTTGAAGCTGCATCTGAAACTGTTATTAACTCTCTTTTCGACCTTGTGCCGTTTGGACCCCATTGAAGTCCATTATATGGAGAAAAATCCTGGAATGTTTTCATCAAAAACCTTCATTTCTTTTCGACTGAGGAAAGAAAGACGTGGACATCTTGGATGACACGGGGGTGAGTAAATTATCAGCAAAAGTTTTTTCCGACTAGTGAACTACTCCTTTAAATGCGACACATGTCTTTTCTGCGACATTACTGCCACTAGCGGAAGTACAAAAATACGGCACATTTTGCAAACCCCCCTTCGCGCTTAGCTCGTAACTCAACTCGCCAGCTCTTACGGGGGCTTGTGAAGGCATCAACTACTTTCAATAAATGTGAGAGAGAGAGAGAGAGAGAGAGAAGAAATGCTGTTTTGTATAAATAAGATCGTCTGAACACACCTGAAAACACACTGGGGATCTTGGACAAAAAGCTCTTGACGGTCCGGATGGGAATCCCGTTCTTTTCGTCCTGCATGCGAGCGATGATATCTTCCATCTGAGAGAGAGAGAGAGAGAGAGAGAGAGAGATCAGCTTCACAGCCTGACGTCTGGAACAATCACAGTAATTACATGCTTCATAATTAGCCTCTGATTCCATGTAATTACGCTTAATTTCTGTGTGATTACACACACTGTTGTACTCGCAATTACTCTTCACTCGTGACTGCACACACTCCCTCTTAACCCGCTATAGCAGTGCAGATTAATACATATATGAACATGAAACCAGAGAGGGAGTTATTCTGATGTTCAGATGCTGGCTATCACATGTTTCCTGGACTCACTCCAAAATCAAAACAAAAGAAGAAAAGTCCATTTAATTTTAGTACAAATGTGGGATTTTTTGCATTGTAACATATTTTAATTGCACTATTTAAATGAAAATCCAGTGTTTAATGTTGTTTATGTGTGTATGTGGTGTGTTTAATCCGCTTTAACACACACCGTGTGTAAGTTGATAAGTGGACAGCATTGAGTCTTTCCTCCTTAAACCTGCAGTGAACCAAAGACAGTCTCAAACACACGCTTTGAAATCGCTGGTGTTTCTGACGTCACAAACCACCTTGTAACCAACAGTGTTGTGCAAGTTACTTCCAAACTGTAATACATTAGGTATTACTTGTTACTGTTATTTAAAAGTAATTCATTACCTTACAATATTACTGTCTCAGAATTGTAATGCGTTACATTACTCATGTATTACTTTTGAGTTACTTTCACCAAAATAACTAAGTACTTAACTTTGGGGCTGTAATGATATGCAATATGAAACCGAAATCGCGATTCGCCACACGACTCAGATCCACGAACCTACAGAATCGCGACACACCTCTTCCAACTCCAGCGTTATTCTCCTTACCGTCCAGATCCAATGCTGCCTTATCTTTAAATTAGGCTATTAGTATTATTTGAAGTTAACATTATAAAATACGTAGACCTACACCACAAAACTAGTTGAGGATAAATTATTTAAAATTGGGGAAGTCTAGCATTATGGACATGACATTTGCAGTCAAAGCTTGAAATAAAAATTATCCGAAAATACATGTATTGAAACGTATATAGGCTATTTCCTTAGAGGACTCCAGACATTAGACAAATATCAGTCTATGTTTTATTTTTAATATTAGGGAAAAAAGACACACATTCATGCGTGACAAAAAAAAATAGGAGGCAAAATATATTTTTTGTAATTCTGTTAATTACACTGGATTGAGTGTAATTGGATAAGGAAGGGTTGGTTTTGCAGTCTCCATAGAACTTAAAATTTTCATTTTATTTTAGTTTTCGTGTTCGCATTTATGAGGAAAAAACAATGTTACGTACGCGACCGCTCTGAACTGGCACTAAAAGACTGCTTTAAAACTTTCACATAGTCTGTTGCCTTTAAGAAGTAAAAGCAGACAATACACTGTAATACAACTGTAATACAAGCCTCACTGAACATGTAACGAGTAAAATATTACTGAAAATTGATTAGTAATGCCTTACACTACTGCGTTACAGCAAAAAGTAATATGTTACTGTAATGTATTACTTTTGTAATGCGTTACTCCCAACACTGGTAACCAATCAGAACAACGTGTGAGGGAGTGAGTGGAGGCGGGGCTCATTTGCATATTCATAGGACTGCGCATACTAGATGAGGCAAGAGTGTCGAGTTACATTCAATAAAGACATTTTATTGTAAAAACGTTTTAGGTGATTTGGTAGCAAAATAAAAGCAATTAATTTTGATAAAAGCAATTGTTGCACAAAAAATTAAATCTAAATAAATACAAATTTTATATTATTTAAATTGTAAAGTTATTGTGCTCATCAGCACCATCTTTATTCAGAAGCTTTCAATCGTAGTTTCCTAAACACTGACACCTGAAAATCCTTCTTAATCTTCCAAAGCAAAATGACATTTGGGATGTTGAGAGACTCCAGGGGGGCGGAGTTAAAGCCTGGAGCAGGTGGGGCGCTCTGATTGGCAGGACCTCTGCCGACAGAGCCGTTTGATTGGCTCTCATACAAACTCACTCTCAACCCATGAAGTGACTGAAGAAACCAGCAAATACAAGAGAAGAAAACACACGTACTCGCTCTGTGACCCAGAGACAGAGTAAAAGCTGTCCTCATCTCCACACACACCTCGAGTGTGTCCTCCTCATACTCCTGATGCACACGCAGCATATTTTAAAAAGCAAAAACACATTAAATAACTGGGTTGAGACACACGGTTTGTCCTTATGAATGTTGACTAATGCTGTTAATGAAGAATATGATTAGATCTGATAGTGTCTCTCAGCAGCGAGCTCATGCTGTCCTCCTTCAGGTCCTCTTGCTCAGTGCTGGAGAATGTTATATATATATGAAGAGTTCGGATGCAAAAGCCTCTAAGTGCCATTTGAAATTTTCTTCTAAAATGATCATTTTTATCAAGCTTGTATATTTAAGTTCAGTGATTTCACTTAAATGGCAATGAAGATTACCTATTAATTGTCATTTAAGTGAAATTACTGAACTTAAATATACAAACTTGATAAAAATGGTCATTTTAGAAGAAAATTTCAAATGGCATTTAGAGGCTTTTGCATCTGAACTCTTCATATACAGACTCACTCATTCACTCACTCAAACATGCGCACAGACTCACACACAAACTCAGACTCATACACACACACACACACACACACTGACTGCTTTACACAGAGTACCCCCCCCCAACAGGACCTGAGCTGCGTCTGTGGATATTATGGAGGAACACTGGGATCTTTAGTTCACTGGTGTCATAATTACCATTCAAAACCATCCATTAACATAATCTCACTTCATTAGTGTAGCTCTGATCTCACAGGTGGAACACACACACACACACTCACTGCAACGAGAGCGATTTACTGTCCATCTCAATCCACCGAGAAACAGCGATCGACCCAAACGCCGTGTGATTACGCTCATTAGATGAGGAGTAAATGTCACAATCCTGAAACGGGCTTCATTCCCATAATGCAACACTCAGAGTCTCTCTCCTGTTTACGGTCCGTGACCGGCGCATGTTTAACATGAGATTCATCACAGCAGTTTCATGCTAAAACATCCAGTGACATGAACAGTCACACACACGCATAATGGTCAGACACACACACACACACACACCCTCACTCACTAGCATATGAAAAAAAATTGAGATTAGTCAAAATTCTGGAAAAAATCTACAGTTTTCAACATTAATGATAATACAGTGTTTTTATTCGCTTTGGTACTATTTTCACAAGTAAGGTGTACATTTTCAAAACTCTCTGTACAAAAATCTTGTAACGCAGCTAGTCATATTTTCAAAACCTGATGTAATGCTTTCAGTCAGCTGCACATGTTTTCAGTCCACATAATCATTATTTCAAAAACACAAGATTATTGTAATATGTAATGAGAACATTTGGTTTAATCACTGAAACACAACAATATGATCTTCTTTCAGTTTAGTACTTTTAACAATCAGTTCATCCAACAGCAAACAACACGAGATACATGTTTCAAATCGGCCGTAGAAGTGCTGAAATGAATATGCTACAGCAATATACTGTAAAAGACAGATTACACAGTTTTACGGTAACATTAGGCAATACACTTACAGTACCCAACATTTACATAATCTATCATTTCCAAATATCCATCATATATGTAATCAAGTGAAGGATCAATGAAGACATCCTCTACAATCATTTAGGCAAATTATAGTTTTTATTTTTCAGATTGTAACATAGGTATACTTTCTATGAAATGTAACTAAATAAGAACAAAACATAACATTTAGTGCACACATTACTGTATATAGTGGCCAATTGTGGTTACCACTATGTGAAATCAATTAGCTATAGTAATTTACTGTAAATATTCATACAAACACACATTTTATTTCTGTAGTTCTCAAAATCCATATACTGTATATTGCTGAAATGAAAATCTATAGGTTTACCAAATGACTAATTGATTAACCATTAAGATCTGTTGGATTAAATAATAGACAAAAGTATTAAACTGAACTAGGGCTGTGCAAAAATGAATTGCGATTAATCGCATCCAAAATAAAAGTCTGTGTTTACATAATATATTTGTGTGTGCTGTATATAATTATTCTGTATATATAAATACCTATGCATGCATGTATATATTTAAGAATTATTTGCGCTTAAATTCTGTATATGTATATAAATACATAATCTATATTATAAAAAATATAAATATTTTATATATGAATAACGAATTTTCTTAAATATATACATGCATGTGTGTGTATTTATATATACAAAATAATTATATACAGCACACACAAATATATTATGTAAACACAGACTTTTATTTTGGATGCGATTAATCGCAATTAACTTTTGCACAGCCCTAAACTGAACAAAAAGAGATGCAAATCAAAAGTTTGATAGTAAGAGCTTTACTGTGAATGAAACAATAACGTAGATGAAACACTTATTTTGTGTTGTGAAAAGGATACTTTGTGATTGTGTGAATTGTACTAACACAGTTGAAAACATGACGAAATGTTTGAAAAAAGTGCACTTTTGATGATCATGTGTGATATCAGCACTAAGAGTTTTGAAAATGTACACCTTACTTGTGAAAATAGTACCAAAGCGAATAATAAAAACTGTAATCAGGACTAGTGTCTTCCTCGTTTGATATTAGTGTGAAGTATAATATCCGGAGAAGAGAAGGAGAGGTGTCAACCGTGAACGGGAAGATTGCTGTAAATGATCCAATCCATTAACACTGGCATTAATCTGAGAACAGCTCTGGGCTCCGATCTATTTAATTACAATGAATGAACGGCGTCTCTGAAAATCAATCAGCATTTACAGCGCCGACGGACAGAGGATAAAGCTGAAGCCAACAGTGAGAAACAACACACACACACGACGATCACACACACTCAACGTTACACTGACAAATCAGTTTCAGTCGTTATCATCTGAGGCTTAAAGACACCGTCATTAAAAAAAGTATATCATAGAGAAGAGTTTAAATACTAATATCGGTCCCACTTTATATTAAGTGGCTTTAAGTACTATGTACCTACATTGAAAAACAAGTACAACGTATTATTGTGGTCCTGTTGTATTGTAAAACACTTTTGCTGCTATTGAGGTGTGATACGGGTAAGTTTAGGGACAGGTGTGGTGGTATGGGTAGGTTTAAGGGTAGGTTAAGGTGTGAGGGATGGGTCAACTGTGTAATTACAAATGTAATTACATAAATTAATTACAGCTGTAATTACATGCTAGTATTTTTAAAATATAAGCACAATGTAAAAACATGTATGTACACAATAAGTCCATTGTATCAAATTATTAATTTCAATGTAAAGCCACTTAACATAAAGTGGGACCCTAATATCAGCTTACGAGGGAAACGGAGGCGGAGTTAGTGGTGCTTGGGAGGCGGAGCGCTTTTTTTTGAAAGTGCACGTTTTTGAAAATTCTCTTTATGCTTAACTCTATATTTATTTGATCAAAAAAATACAGTAAATCCAGTAATATTGTGAAATATTATTACAAATCCTCATATTAGAGTGATTTGTGAAGGGTCATGTGACACTGAAGACTGGAGTAATGATGATAAATTCAGCTTTGATCACAGGAATAAATTACACTTTACTGTATATTCATATAGAAAACAGATGATTTACATTAGAATAATATTTCACTGTTTTTACTGTATTTCTGATGATAAACACAGCCTTGGTGAGCAGAAGAGACTTCTAGAGTAGTTTATCTAATGAGAACCACATCTAGAACGCGCGCCTCATTGAAATACATGGACATGTGTCCTGATTCAACTAATCGGATGCGACTACTCTCATATTTGCCTCTTGGGACATTATGAATTTGAAAATGAAGCTGCGTCAGTAATCTCCCATTCACTGAATAAATCATTAATATAATCACAATCCTCTCAGAAAACAAGACCTGTCCGATAGACACAACTAGAGAAATAGTTCATCTAAAACAAGAAAAATCATCTCAGAAGAATGAGAGTGATGACAGATCCGACACGTTTTACACATGAATATATTTTGCGCTTCATTACAGAACGCAGAACTCGCCTCCTACAACTACTAAACAGCACAATGACTTCAATTATGCAATTAATGATGACAATAATAGACTACGCTCTGTAAATGACAAAAGATTATGAACTAACTTCGCATCAGTGTCTTGAAGTGTCACACTCGTGATGTGTTTCAGGCTCTTCTAGAACAGGTTTTCCTGCTTGAATGTTGATTATTCTCCTCATATTCTCCATTGTTGCGGCTCCTCTCTTCCCAGTCTGTCAGTAACGCTCGCTTTACTTTCTGTCTCTATGAAGCCCCTCCTTCTGAAAAGCATACTGTGCTTCTGATTGGTCGGCTGAGGCAATGTGTTGTGATTGGTCAATTCGAGCGTGGGAAATGCGTTTATTAAATGCTGCATAAAATGGTTTATTAAAAGCTGACAGCCTGCACATGTACACCGCAGGGAGAACAGCAGGTTTACATTTGGTTCGACAGGTAAAAATACACGAGTTTTAAGATGATGATGGAATTCTTATCATTATAACATTAAATTAATTAAATATCTAATTTCATAATGTCAGAGTAGCAGAAATGAAAATAATCATGATAATATAAAACTTTAATAAATAGTAGGGATGAGCCGATATAAAAATTTAGGCAGTTACCGTTAACCGATAATTCTTTATACTGGGGAAACCGATATATTGGCTGAAAATCTAAATCTAAATTTTTATATTAGTTTTGAGAGCCTGATTACAAAGACAAAAGTCTCACACTTAAAAGCCACATTCCAACACACAATTATAATATTCCTATTATGATTTTATGTAGCTGATATGACAAACTTGACAAACACTTCACTCTATTTTAATTTTTTTAATGATTTCAATCATATTTAAAGCAATTCAAACCATGATGTTGAACAGTGCATCTAAAATGTGTCATAAATAATAGATTATGTATCGGCTTTAATATATCGGATATATTAATCTTCTAACTGGGCCGATAACATTCAAAATTAACGTATCAGACGATACCGATATGGGGGCAGATATATCGTGCATATTACATTCAATAATTTAATAATATTTTTCATACAAGAACATAAAAAAGTCTCTCACTTTCAGTTTGCTATTTGATAGAATATCTAACATTTCTCTCAAGTCTTTTTAAAATACATCCATTAATGAAACTTCTAAATGGTTAAGGTTAATAAAAAACGGGTTAAAATATCTCTATTCGGGTCAGAAACATCTCTGAATATAGAGCAGACGAAACACAAACACACACTGCAGACGAAAAGAGGTCAGACGAGATTCCTGAACGAAAGACGGAACGAACTCTCGCTAATGCACGTCCTGATGATGTCATCACCGCGCTATATTTATGCAAATATATAATCAGAGCATGAACACCGGACATGTAGATCACCGTGTGACCCAGAAACACAATCAGCAGGGAAACACAATGCTAAATCTACATAATAAAACGCAACTACAAGTTCAACTTTTAAAAATCATCAAATTTGGGCCACTTCATACAGGTAAATAATAATTTAGGAATAACTGATTTATTTAATTGCAGACAAGCTAATGTAGTAAAGCACTTGTTCCCAACACCGACGGACAGATACTCACATGAACAGGCACTATCACTGTCATAACAAAAAAGCTTGTGTGTAATGTCCGGAGGACTGAATAACATCTCATATATAAATAATATCAATTCCTATATCAGCGTTTGGTTTTCACTGATGGAGTTTTGGTTCAACGGTCACCTTTGGCTTTTGGCTTGCTTAGTTGAGGACATTTAATATTCAACAATATTATTGATCTCCTGCTCTGACACCACTATACGAGAACTGAGCTGAGCTGGACGATGACAAATGAAGCATCCCTGAACTGACTTAAAGGAGTAGTTCACTTTAAAAAAAACTTTTGCTGATAATTTACTCGCCCCCGTGTCATCCAAGATGTCCATGTCTTTCTTTCTTCAGTCGAAAAGAAATGAAGGTTTTTGATGAAAACATTCCAGGATTTTCTCCATATAATGGACTTCAATGGGGTCCAAAAGACAGTTTCACTGCAAACTACAAACTGTTCAAAGGGCTTTAAACGATTCCAGATGGTGAATAAGAGTCTTATCAAGCAAAACGATCGCTCATTTAACAAAGTTTAAGGTTATAAGCTCAAATGGTCGCCTTCCTCTGTTCTGTGATGTGCGTTCGTGAACAAATCTTTTTTCGTGTCATTTGGTAGCCTGCATGCCAGCCCGAACTCTGCCCACAACATTTTTTGGTCGGGAAGTTCGGTCTGGACTCGATCCATTGAGGAGTAATTATGATCAGGCAAGAAATGAACGGGCCAATCAAATTGCCAGGGCGGGCTTTATACGATGATGGACAGGTGATCTGCAGGGACGTAATCATCACGTTATCAAAGAGCGCTAACTGGTTTCCCTCAGAGACGACTGCAGCTGGAGAATTGAGATGTATAGATTCCTCTGTCGCGTCTGTTGTAAAATAAATCGACAGCGCATTCATTTTAATAGACGAACAGAAAACTACAATCAAGGCATTTGTCGATCGGAAAGATATTTTTGGCGTCCTTCTTACATGATTCGGGAAAAGTGTAACTTATCAGCTGGCTCTGACGGTCGCTAAGAAGATGGGACGTAATGAAAAGCCTGTGGTCGTTGTGGTTTCTCCTTTGGTGGCACTCATGGAGGAGTAAAAGAAGCAACACTCGTTATTTAACTTCTAATCTAAAATAAGTAAGTTCAGTAGTTGAAAACTGCGCTATGCAAAGGAGTTGACTTATGCGTTGCTCTGATTGGTTGGTAGGTTTACCAACTATCCAATTAAATGCAGAGTTTTTTTTTTTCCTGGTTCGGTTACGACACGCCTCATAATCAAAGCCCAACGAAGCGGTATCAGACTCATATTCTTATTAGAAAATGACTATGACGAAGTCAGGCTAGTCATTTGGTTCATTCAACGAATGAACTGAACGAGTTGACTTGGGAAAAGATTTGTTCATTTTGATGAACGAGTTCGAACAGGAGAGTCACGAAGGCGCAGAAAAGAGCAAGGCGACCATTTGAGCTTAAAAAATGTAAACTTTATTTATTTTTTTAATGAGCGATCGTTTCGCTTGATAAGACCCTTATTCATCGTCTAAAATCGTTTAAAGCCCTTTGAACAGTTTGCAACTTTGCATTGAAACTCTCTTTTGGACCTTGAACCGTTTGGACCCCATTGAAGTCCATTATATGGAGAAAATCCTGGAATGTTTTCATCAAAAACCTTCATTTCTTTTCGACTGAAGAAATAAAGACGTGGACATTAGTGTCACACACACGCAAACACAAAAAAATAGAGTTATGTACCAGCAGCTCATACAAAAATATAGAATTATGTAGCACACTGGCACTGATACACACTGTGGAGGCCGTACTGTACGCCTACGTGTAACGTGTGTATGACAGGTCGGATTACAGCATGGTGATGTGAAAACTACACAATAGAGAAACAAGCTCTCATACAAAAATAGAAAAAAGGCCACAATGAAATTAAGTTAGCTTTAACGAAGAGTGTGCCGTTCGGATTTGGCGCTCAGCTGTCATGCGTCTCTGTTATACACACACACACTGGCTGAGAACTGCAGTCCGCTCCAGAGTTACTTCTTATGCGTTCCGTCAATATCACGTTAACTTAATTTACGTTCATATATTAAGAGATTTTTGACATTTGTGAATCGATTCAGAACCATGAAGACTGCTGGGTGAGCGGATGGTTCAGAGGTGAGGGGTCAGCTGGACTTACTTTCCTGTACACCAGCATGTTGGGAGACTCATCCGCCACTCCATTAGTGCTCTGAGTCTGAGCCGAGCCCAGCTGAGCCATTCCTCAAGCTGAGCCGTACTCCTGGGGGGTATAGAGAGGAGGGGGGGGTGATTATTTATTCATGATTTAAGACCATTAACACCTGCAGCAATATCTAGAATCATGGAAAAATCTACAGCATTTCATTTTTAACACAAGGAAAGTTTTCTCTTCGAGGAGGATGATGGATGAAAGTGACAGATAGACAGACGATAGATAGATAGAACACTGACACACATCAACACAACACAACACTGACACACAATACTGAAACACTGACACAAAAACACAACACTGACACACAAAAGCACAACACTGACACACAATACTGAAACACTGACACAAAACACAACACTGACACACAAAAGCACAACACTGACACACAATACTGAAACACTGACACACAACATTCACAATACTGTCTGACACACAACAACACAACACAACACAACACTGACACACAACACAACACAACACTGACACACAACACAACACTGACACACAACACAACACTGACACACAACATTCACAATACTGTCTGACACACAACAACACAACACAACACAACACTGACACACAACACAACACAACACTGACACACAACACAACACAACACTGACACACAACACAACACTGACACACAACACAACACAACACTGACACACAATACTGAAACACTGACACACAACACAACACTGACACACAACACAACACAACACTGACACACAACACAACACTGACACACAACACAACACAACACTGACACACAATACTGAAACACTGACACACAACATTCACAACACTGTCTGACACACAACAACACAACACTGTCTGACACACAACATTCACAACACTGTCTGACACACAACATTCACAACACTGTCTGACACACAACATTCACAACACTGTCTGACACACAACATTCACAACACTGTCTGACACACAACATTCACAACACTGTCTGACACACAACATTCACAACACTGTCTGACACACAACATTCACAACACTGTCTGACACACAACATTCACAACACTGACACACAAAAACACAACACTGACACACAATACTGAAACACTGACACAATATTCACAACACTGCCTGACACACAACAGCACAACACTGACACACAACACTGACACACAAAAACACAACACTGACACACAAAAACACAACACAACACTGACACACAATACTGAAACACTGACACACAACATTCACAACACTGTCTGACACACAACAACACAACACAACACAACACTGACACACAACACTGACACACAAAAACACAACACTGACACACAAAAACACAACACAACACTGACACACAATACTGAAACACTGACACACAACATTCACAATACTGTCTGACACACAACAACACAACACAACACAACACTGACACACAACACAACACAACACTGACACACAACACAACACTGACACACAACACAACACTGACACACAACATTCACAATACTGTCTGACACACAACAACACAACACAACACAACACTGACACACAACACAACACAACACTGACACACAACACAACACAACACTGACACACAACACAACACTGACACACAACACAACACAACACTGACACACAATACTGAAACACTGACACACAACACAACACTGACACACAACACAACACAACACTGACACACAACACAACACTGACACACAACACAACACAACACTGACACACAATACTGAAACACTGACACACAACATTCACAACACTGTCTGACACACAACAACACAACACTGTCTGACACACAACATTCACAACACTGTCTGACACACAACATTCACAACACTGTCTGACACACAACATTCACAACACTGTCTGACACACAACATTCACAACACTGTCTGACACACAACATTCACAACACTGTCTGACACACAACATTCACAACACTGTCTGACACACAACATTCACAACACTGTCTGACACACAACATTCACAACACTGACACACAAAAACACAACACTGACACACAATACTGAAACACTGACACAATATTCACAACACTGCCTGACACACAACAGCACAACACTGACACACAACACTGACACACAAAAACACAACACTGACACACAAAAACACAACACAACACTGACACACAATACTGAAACACTGACACACAACATTCACAACACTGTCTGACACACAACAACACAACACTGACACACAACATTCACAACACAGTCTGACACAACACAACACTGACACACAATACTGAAACACTGACACACAACATTCACAACACTGTCTGACACACAACATTCACAACACTGTCTGACACACAACATTCACAACACTGACACACAAAAACACAACACTGACACACAATACTGAAACACTGACACACAACACAACACTGACACACAACACAACACAACACTGACACACAATACTGAAACACTGACACACAACATTCACAACACTGTCTGACACACAACAACACAACACTGTCTGACACACAACATTCACAACACTGTCTGACACACAACATTCACAACACTGACACACAAAAACACAACACTGACACACAATACTGAAACACTGACACAATATTCACAACACTGCCTGACACACAACAGCACAACACTGACACACAACACTGACACACAAAAACACAACACTGACACACAAAAACACAACACAACACTGACACACAATACTGAAACACTGACACACAACATTCACAACACTGTCTGACACACAACAACACAACACTGTCTGACACACAACATTCACAACACTGTCTGACACACAACATTCACAACACTGTCTGACACACAACATTCACAACACAACATTCACAACACTGTCTGACACACAACATTCACAACACTGTCTGACACACAACATTCACAACACTGACACACAAAAACACAACACTGACACACAATACTGAAACACTGACACACAACACAACACTGACACACAACACAACACAACACTGACACACAATACTGAAACACTGACACACAACATTCACAACACTGTCTGACACACAACAACACAACACTGTCTGACACACAACATTCACAACACTGTCTGACACACAACATTCACAACACTGACACACAAAAACACAACACTGACACACAATACTGAAACACTGACACAATATTCACAACACTGCCTGACACACAACAGCACAACACTGACACACAACACTGACACACAAAAACACAACACTGACACACAAAAACACAACACAACACTGACACACAATACTGAAACACTGACACACAACATTCACAACACTGTCTGACACACAACAACACAACACAACACAACACTGACACACAACACTGACACACAAAAACACAACACTGACACACAAAAACACAACACAACACTGACACACAATACTGAAACACTGACACACAACATTCACAACACTGTCTGACACACAACAACACAACACTGACACACAACATTCACAACACAGTCTGACACAACACAACACTGACACACAATACTGAAACACTGACACACAACATTCACAACACTGTCTGACACACAACAACACAACACTGACACACAACATTCACAACACAGTCTGACACAACACAACACTGACACACAATACTGAAACACTGACACACAACATTCACAACACTGTCTGACACACAGCAGCATAACACTGACACACAAAAACACAACACTGACACACAAAAACACAACACAACACTGACACACAATACTGAAACACTGACACACAACATTCACAATACTGTCTGACACACAACAACACAACACAACACAACATTCACAACACAGTCTGACACAACACAACACTGACACACAATACTGAAACACTGACACACAACATTCACAACACTGTCTGACACACAACAACACAACACTGACACACAAAAACACAACACAACACTGACACACAATACTGAAACACTGACACACAACATTCACAACACTGTCTGACACACAACAACACAACACTGACACACAACATTCACAACACAGTCTGACACAACACAACACTGACACACGATACTGAAACACTGACACACAACATTCACAACACTGTCTGACACACAGCAGCATAACACTGACACACAAAAACACAACACTGGTACACAAAAGCACAACACTGACACACACACACACACACACACGGCACGAGCGGCCTCGGAGATGAGGAGGATGAAACACTGACGGATGGGAGGAAGGTGTTTAATGGTCCCGCGTCACGCGTCGAATAAACACACATTTCCCCGCAGACTGTAGAAGCATTTACCTCACAGAATCGCGCGCGTCGCTCCTCGGGGCGGTGCGTCAGCTGCAGGGGTAGCGGAGGCAGTTATTCATCGGAATCGATGAGTTATTTGCCCCTCGGTGTAACAACTATCGCTTTCCTCTCCTCTCCTCTTCTCACAGCGAACGGCGGCGCGCAAATCTCACAACTAGAGCGTGAACGCGCAGAGATCAGCGGCCAATCACACGCGCGCTCATGCACGCGAGAGAAAGAGCTGCCGCTGCGTCCATGAGATGTCACACATTTCATTACACTATCACTTTAAAAAAATATTTTCATGATTTGTAATCACATTTTTTCTTTTGTCAAATAAGCTTGAATAATTTATGTAGTTCAGATAACATAATATTTTGAGTATATCTCCTTCAATTTCCATTTCAACTTAAAAATTTTAAGGCAACCAGGTTTCTTCATTTTTCACGTTAAAACAACAATATTTTTTACACTGTACACTGTGTGCCATTTATTGTTTTTTAATCAACAGCCTGCATCATATGCCAACAAAAGTAATATTGTGGCATATACTTGTAATTCTCTTCCATATTTATTTTCTCATAAATCTCATTTTAAAGTTGACTGGTATTTGTTTTTTCTTTGGACTTCCACTTTGTGAAATGCTAAACATCTGGTCTTGCCTGTGTACGGGACACTGGGGCTAGTAAATAGAGTGTGTTTTTATTTTTGAAAGGCAAATTCTGAGGCTTATCAATCATAAAACACAAAACCACTCATGAAACATGTAACAGGTAACACTGTTTTAGCTAACAACAAACATTTAAATCACATTTATGAAAAATACTCTTGATGTATTTTGTGTGCAAAAAAAAATTATGACACAATGTCAGAAGACATCGCAAGTTTTAATTTTTTTGACTCTTTTTGCCATTTTTATGATGTAAAAGTCAAAATTAGTATAAAAAAGTATGACATAAGTAAAAATTAGTCCAAGTGGTCACAGAAAAAGGATAATTGTGACATTAAAAATCCAAAATAATGGAATAAAAAGTATTTATGAGATAAAGTCAAAATTGACAAAAAGACAAAATTCTGACATAAGAAGTTAAAATTGGGACAAAAATAAAACTTTTAGAAACAAAAGTCAAGATTTTAACTAGTTATAATTTTTTTCATTACAACATAAGTCATAAAATAAAAGTTAAAATGACACAAAAAGTCATAATTATGACATACAAAGTCATTGATCTGACTTGTCATTTTACATACAAAGTAATATTTGTCAAAACTGACAAAATCATAAAAGGTCAAAACTGTGACAAAAGTGTAAATGACGGCATAAGCCATCTCATAATTTTTATCTCATAATTGTGACTTTTTTTTCTGATTATGATTTAGCGAAGCATGTTAAAACAGTGAAACACACTGATGAGGATGGTGAACACACCAGATGATCTGCAGATGTGTGTGTGTGTGTGTGTGTGTGTGTTGAGATGACAGTGCCGTCAGCAGAAGAGTGGATCTCTGGATCCGGAAGAGTTTGCAGAACATAACTCTATTAGAAGATTTGGCAGATATATTAAAGCTTATGAATAATGTATAATTTCGTAGGAATCATTTAAATAGAGGAAAATAGAGTTCAGTGCAACAGTTCAGTCCGTCATAAAATGATGATGAATATATTATAATTGTGTGATTGGGAAATGGCTTTTAATGATGAGACTATTTTATAAATTTATATGAAAATTTTGATTTAGATTTAAGGATAAATGTATCCATCATCTCGGTGCATCACTAATGCAAACATTTATTTACGAACCCATCAAATATGTGACAGAAACAAATCAAATATGATATGATAACTAGATATAAATATCCTATCAGGTGTTTGTGTCGCTGGATTTATTAGGATATAATGAGTCACATGATGAAAACATACTGAGGGAAAACCGAACCGAGCCTGTAGACACACACACACACGTCTCCAGGTAATCACACACACACACACCTGCATCTCCAGGTAACCACACCCATACATCCACAAACACACACACACACACACACACTCTCTCATCTCCTCCTGTGGTGGCCATATGTCTCTCAGCTCCCCGCCGCTCTCCTCTTCCTCTGCTCTGTGTGTGTGTGTGTGTGTGAGAGACCCGAGGCTCAGTGGGACTGATGATCTCACACAGGCTCTGAATATCAACACAGAGCAGGTGAAATGCCAGACTCGACTTGAGGAAGTGCTGCTGGTGTGTGTGTGTGTGTGTGTGTGTGTGCTTCCCTCGGTGAGGATCATCTGCACAAACCCTCGCTCATAATCTCTCTCTCTCACACACACACACACACACACACACACACACACACGTTACATGAAGAACATCAATCCTATTTTCAAGAATGCTTTTGCTTCGTGACACGGATCAGATTATTATAGTTCACTAAAATCTGTCAAAAACATCATTATTCTGAGAAACACATTTTAGCGAAGCGGCGGATCCGCTAACAGTGTTTAATGTTGTAAACCGATACGAACCACACACGCACGGTCCATCACCACAGAATCACTAGCTGAGCTAGCGTTCAGAGAGCTAGCATTCAGAGAGCTAGCGTTCACAGAACTAACGTTCACAGAGCTAGCGTTCAGAGATCTAACATCAGCTAGTGTCCACAGAGCTAGCGTTCACAGTCTAGCGTTCACAGAGCTAGCGTTCACAGATCTAACATCAGCTAGTGTTCAGAGATCTAGCGTTCAGAGATCTAGCGTTCACAGAGCTAGCGTTCACAGAACTAACATTCACAGAGCTAGCGTTCAGAGATCTAACATCAGCTAGTGTTCACAGAGCTAGCGTTCAGAGATCTAGCGTTTACAGAGCTAGCGTTCACAGTCTAGCGTTCACAGAGCTAGCGTTCAGAGATCTAGTGTTCACAGAGCTAGCGTTCACAGTCTAGCGTTCACAGATCTAGCGTTCAGAGATCTAGCGTTCACAGAGCTAGCGTTCAGAGATCTAGCATCAGCTAGTGTTCACAGAGCTAGCGTTCAGAGATCTAGCATCAGCTAGTGTTCACAGAGCTAGCGTTCAGAGATCTAGCGTTTACAGAGCTAGCGTTCACAGAACTAACATTCACAGAGCTAGCGTTCAGAGATCTAACATCAGCTAGTGTTCACAGAGCTAGCGTTCAGAGATCTAGCGTTTACAGAGCTAGCGTTCACAGTCTAGCGTTCACAGAGCTAGCGTTCAGAGATCTAGTGTGCACAGAGCTAGCGTTCACAGTCTAGCGTTCACAGATCTAGCGTTCAGAGATCTAGCGTTCACAGAGCTAGCGTTCACAGAACTAACATTCACAGAGCTAGCGTTCAGAGATCTAACATCAGCTAGTGTTCACAGAGCTAGCGTTCAGAGATCTAGCGTTTACAGAGCTAGCGTTCACAGAACTAACATTCACAGAGCTAGCGTTCAGAGATCTAACATCAGCTAGTGTTCACAGAGCTAGCGTTCAGAGATCTAGCGTTTACAGAGCTAGCGTTCACAGTCTAGCGTTCACAGAGCTAGCGTTCAGAGATCTAGTGTTCACAGAGCTAGCGTTCACAGTCTAGCGTTCACAGATCTAGCGTTCACAGAGCTAGCGTTCAGAGATCTAGCATCAGCTAGTGTTCACAGAGCTAGCGTTCAGAGATCTAACATCAGCTAGTGTTCACAGAGCTAGCGTTCAGAGATCTAGCGTTTACAGAGCTAGCGTTCACAGTCTAGCGTTCACAGAGCTAGCGTTCAGAGATCTAGTGTTCACAGAGCTAGCGTTCACAGTCTAGCGTTCACAGATCTAGCGTTCAGAGATCTAGCATCAGCTAGCGTTCAGAGATCTAGCGTTCACAGATCTAGCGTTCACAGAGCTAGTGTTCACAGATGTAGTGTTCAGCTAGCGTTCACAGATCTAGCGTTCAACTAGTGTTCACAGAGCTAGCGTTCAGAGATCTAGCGTTCACAGAGCTAGCGTTCAGAGATCTAGCATCAGCTAGTGTTCACAGAGCTAGCGTTCAGAGATCTAACATCAGCTAGTGTTCACAGAGCTAGCGTTCAGAGATCTAGCGTTTACAGAGCTAGCGTTCACAGAACTAACATTCACAGAGCTAGCGTTCAGAGATCTAACATCAGCTAGTGTTCACAGAGCTAGCGTTCAGAGATCTAGCGTTTACAGAGCTAGCGTTCACAGTCTAGCGTTCACAGAGCTAGCGTTCAGAGATCTAGTGTTCACAGAGCTAGCGTTCACAGTCTAGCGTTCACAGATCTAGCGTTCAGAGATCTAGCATCAGCTAGCGTTCAGAGATCTAGCGTTCACAGATCTAGCGTTCACAGAGCTAGTGTTCACAGATGTAGTGTTCAGCTAGCGTTCACAGATCTAGCGTTCAACTAGCGTTCACAGAGCTAGCGTTCAGAGATCTAACATCAGCTAGTGTTCACAGAGCTAGCGTTCAGAGATCTAGCGTTTACAGAGCTAGCGTTCACAGTCTAGCGTTCACAGAGCTAGCGTTCAGAGATCTAGTGTTCACAGAGCTAGCGTTCACAGTCTAGCGTTCACAGATCTAGCGTTCAGAGATCTAGCGTTCACAGAGCTAGCGTTCACAGAACTAACATTCACAGAGCTAGCGTTCAGAGATCTAACATCAGCTAGTGTTCACAGAGCTAGCGTTCAGAGATCTAGCGTTTACAGAGCTAGCGTTCACAGAACTAACATTCACAGAGCTAGCGTTCAGAGATCTAACATCAGCTAGTGTTCACAGAGCTAGCGTTCAGAGATCTAGCGTTTACAGAGCTAGCGTTCACAGTCTAGCGTTCACAGAGCTAGCGTTCAGAGATCTAGTGTTCACAGAGCTAGCGTTCACAGTCTAGCGTTCACAGATCTAGCGTTCACAGAGCTAGCGTTCAGAGATCTAGCATCAGCTAGTGTTCACAGAGCTAGCGTTCAGAGATCTAACATCAGCTAGTGTTCACAGAGCTAGCGTTCAGAGATCTAACGTTTACAGAGCTAGCGTTCACAGTCTAGCGTTCACAGAGCTAGCGTTCAGAGATCTAGTGTTCACAGAGCTAGCGTTCACAGTCTAGCGTTCACAGATCTAGCGTTCAGAGATCTAGCGTTCACAGAGCTAGCGTTCAGAGATCTAGCATCAGCTAGTGTTCACAGAGCTAGCGTTCAGAGATCTAACATCAGCTAGTGTTCACAGAGCTAGCGTTCAGAGATCTAGCGTTTACAGAGCTAGCGTTCACAGTCTAGCGTTCACAGAGCTAGCGTTCAGAGATCTAGTGTTCACAGAGCTAGCGTTCACAGTCTAGCGTTCACAGATCTAGCGTTCAGAGATCTAGCATCAGCTAGCGTTCAGAGATCTAGCGTTCACAGATCTAGCGTTCACAGAGCTAGCGTTCACAGAGCTAGTGTTCACAGATGTAGTGTTCAGCTAGCGTTCACAGATCTAGCGTTCAACTAGCGTTCACAGAGCTAACGTTCACAGAGCTAGCGTTCACAGATCTAGCGCTCAGAGATCTAGCGTTCACAGATCTAGCGTTCAGAGATCTAACGTTCACAGAGCTAGCGTTCACAGATCTAGCGTTCACAGAGCTAGTGTTCACAGATCTAGCGTTCACAGAGCTAACGTTCACAGAGCTAGCGTTCACACTGCTAGCGTTCACAGATCTAGCGTTCACAGATCTAGCGTTCACAGATCTAGCGTTCACAGAGCTAGTGTTCACAGATCTAGCGTTCAGAGATCTAGCGTTCACAGATCTAGCGTTCACAGATCATTGGGCACAGACACGAGGAACGAAGTGTTTGAACAGGGCAAGTGTTTTATTGAAGAGCGAGAGGTTATTTGGGTCCCAGCATGTCTTCAGGACGCACCCACAGGTCGAACTGCTCCTCCGTCAGGAAGCCGAGCTTCAGCGCCGTCTCCTTCAGAGTCGAGCCCTCCTTGTGTGCCGTCTTCGCTATAGTGGCCGCTTTATCATAGCCTGAGGAGAGACCACACACACCAGTCATTCCAGTCATTTCTGAATGTCAAACAAATGTCTCTCTCCTCTTCTGTAGCATTTTCAAACTGCTTCATGACTCTTTAACAGGCCAACGCATGCAGGATCGAACCAAGCGGCAACATTCTAATCTGAAAGATGAAGCCTACCCGGAAGTGCGATAAACTGCAATACGTCTCAAATCCACTAGAGGGCGGTCCCGAAAGGGAGCAGATATCCATAGACGTCATAGACGTTATAATGTCCGTTTTCACAGCATAAATTCATATGTTTACAGTTTGGTCACATGGACTTTTACTGTAATCTTCAATATGTTCTGAGTGCCTGATAACTGTGAGGCGGGTGAATTTTTTTCTAACTCGTTAGTTTAGATCATATTTAGATATAAAACGTATGACAAATAAGGGCGGTTAACTTTGATTGACAGCTGATAACGGGCTGCGCCGAGTGAATTTGACGTCTCGGCCATGATCTGACACAACACATCACACCACCTCTGTATCCTTTCTGAAACTTTTGTGTTTTGTATTTCCCAAGATTTTCCAGTATGGCGCCGCCCATAAACAGCCTCAAACCCGTTCTTCAGAGAGTCTATGGGTGACGTCACAGACGCTTTGTCCATATTTTTTACAGTCTATGGATCAAACACACACACACACACAGCGCCCTCTGCTGTCTGTTCCCCACACTTACAGTCCTTCATCCAAACACAGGACGCATGTTCTCAGAGGCGATACGCTACACACACACACACACACACTCACCTATGTGAGGGTTGAGAGCCGTGACCAGCATCAGCGACTCGCTCATCAGTTTGTTGATCCTCTCGATGTTGGGCTTGATCCCGACCACACAGTTGTTGGTGAAGGAGACCGAAGCGTCGCCCAGAAGTCTGGCAGAGTTCAGGACATTCTTGATCTGAAACAGAAACATGCAGTCCGTCACCTGAGCATGCGGACCCTGCAGTCTGAGCAGGAGGATACATGTGTGTGTGTGTGTGTGTGTGTGTGTGTGTGTGGAGGAGACGAGGAGGTGTGTGACGTGGACTCACGATCATTGGCTTGAAGACGTTGAGCTCGAAGTGTCCGTTGCTTCCTCCGACAGTGACGGCCACATGATTCCCGAACACCTGAGCCGCCACCATAGTCAACGCCTCACACTGCGTGGGGTTCACCTTCCCTGAGACACACACACACACAGTTCAGGGTGGGATTCACTTCAGCTGCTTGTGTTGGTTTAAACCAACACACAAACACACTTCTCTGATCCTAATGGCAGTCTAAAGCATTGTGTGTTTGTGTGTGTGTTTGTGTGTGTGTGTGTGTGTGTGTGTGTGCAATGTGAGAGTGAGAGGTGTAAAAGAGAGTGTGTGAGAGTGTGTGTTGCATTTTTCAAAGGTCACGAACATCAGAGCATCCTAAAAATAGAACAGAAACACAAGGCCGGAGCTAAAGGTTAGAGGTCGAGCTCACAGTGTGTGTGTGTGTGTGTAAATGTGCAGTATATTATTAATTTATCAGTGTGTAAATAAGGTGTTTGTAAAACACACAGGAAGATGATGAGATTTGGGGTTCTGCGGCTCTGATTGGCTGACAGGCCTGTCACTCACCCGGCATGATGCTGGACCCGGGCTCGTTCTCGGGCAGCACGAGTTCTCCGAGACCCGACCGAGGTCCCGACCCCAGGAAGCGGATGTCGTTGGCGATCTTCATCAGGCTCACGGCCACAGTGTTCAGAGAGCCGCTCAGCTCCACCAGTGCATCATGGGCCGCCAGAGCCTCGAACTTGTTCTCCGCCGTCACAAACGGCAGTCCTGCACACGAGCAGAGCAGAGCCTCACTGGTGATGACCACACACACACACACACACACACACACACACTTCTCAAGAGCAGAGCCTCATATTACAGTGATTCTGAAGGGTCATGTGACACTGGAGTAATGATGATGAACATTCAGCTTTGGTGAATTCGTGTGTGTGTGTGTGTGTGTGTGTGTGAGTGTGTGTTACCTGTGAGTGCAGACACTTTCTCCGCCACTTTCTCAGCGAAGCCGATGCGTGTGTTAAGGCCGGTTCCCACCGCAGTGCCGCCGGCTGCGAGCTCATACACACGCGGCATCGCGGCCTTCACTCGCTCGATGCTGTACTTCACCTGCTGCACGTACCCGCCAAACTCCTGCACACACACACACACACACACAACAAAGAAGACTTATCTCTAAGTCAAATCAGAGCCCGTCTAACGGAGAGCCTTGGCCCGTTGTGCATCATCCTGGTTGCAGTTCCATTAGAATTCCACTGGAGGTGATCATGAGCGAGAGCAGAATGAATAGGAGTCTATGGGGCTAAACGGCTAAATGTCTCTTTCACCTGCTTGTCGTTAAATTAACATAGATTTTATTGTTGATTCCGCAAGTTCAATATAGATTATAGGCCAAAAGTCGAATCAACGAGTACTTATGTCCTTTTGATGTCTTACAGGTTAGGCCGTTGTTGGCCGGATCACGCTAGCATTCTGCTATTGTGTGACGTCATCACAGTTTTGAACGGATTTTTAGAACAGATAAGTGAACTTAAAAATGCAAGTGTATTATCTTAGCCCTCCCTTTTGAATGCAACTTTCAAATTACTTGACAAAAAATTACATCCTGAGAAAAGTGGATTTCAGGGGGTGAAACCCCATTGACTCCCATTCATTCTGCACTCGAGCGCCCCCGCATGGACAGAGACGCGTTACTGCAGCCAGTCCAGAACCCGGAAGTAACCAGCCAGTGCCAATTCTCTTCAATTAGACATTCTCTGGTCAAATGTATCACACAAGACTCAGAGAGAATGAACGCGTGTCACCTGATCCACACATGTACATGCTTCATTGCAAGCACAAATGATGATTACACACTTATACTAAAGAAAATGTGTGTGTTACACACATATGTATTCACAAAAATATCTCTATTTGCACAGACTGCAGGACAGTCACACACAAGTTAAGTTGAAAGGCATTGGTTGTGGATAGTAACACATTTCTGCAACATTATCAAGTTCTTGTAGAATTTGATAATTTCATGCAATTTTTTATAATTTTAAAACTAAATTCATCAGAAGGGATATATACTGTATATGTATGAATGTTGAGATATCTAAACCTGTCCGAGAGAGAGCGGCACGGCGTCCTGTGTGTGTGTGCGGCCGATCTTGATGATGTCTTTGAACTGCAGAGCTTTCTCCGCGAGAGCGTCGTGCAGCGCCTGGAGCCCCGGCAGCAGAACCTCGTGAACCTCTTTACCAGCGGCGATGTGCATAGCGGTGGGGAACGTGTCGTTCGAGCTCTGCACACACAACAGAAGAGGAGTCAGTGAGTGTGTGTGTGTGTGTGTGTGTGTGTGTGTGAATGAGTCAGTGAGTGAGTGAATGAGTGAGTCAGTGAGTAAGTGAGTCAGTGAATGAGTGAGTCAGTGAGTGAGTGAGTCAATGAGTCAATGAGTCAGTGAATGAGTCAGTGAGTGAGTGAGTGAGTGGGTGAGTGAGTCAGTGAGTAAGTGAGTCAGTGAATGAGTGAGTCAGTGAGTGAGTGAGTGAGTCAATGAGTTAGTGAATGAGTCAGTGAGTGAGTCAGTGAGTGGGTGAGTGATTGAGTGAGTGAGTGAGTGAGTGAGTGAGTGAGTGAGTGAGTGAGTGAGTGAATGAGTCAGTGAGTGAGTGAGTGAGTGAGTCAGTGAGTGAGTCAGTGAGTCAGTGAATGAGTCAGTGAGTGAGTCAGTGAGTGGGTGAGTGATGAGTGAGTGAGTGAGTGAGTGAGTCAGTGAATGAGTCAGTGAGTGAGTCAGTGAGTGGGTGAGTGATTGAGTGAGTGAGTAAGTGAGTCAGCGAGTGAGTGTGTGAGACCTGGCTCTTGTTGACGTGGTCATTGGGGTGAACAGGATCTTTGCTGCCCAGTTTTCCACCCAGTATCTCGATGGCTCTGTTGCTGATGACCTCATTGACGTTCATGTTGGTCTGTGTTCCGGATCCGGTTTGCCAAACAACCAGCGGGAAATGATCATCCAGCTTCCCAGCAGCCACCTGGAACACACACACACACACAGGAGTCAAAGACGGAGAGAAATCAACCAATACGACCATAGGTCCGTTCCATTCGACCATAAGTGGACTGCGAAGTGGACTTCACAGGGTATTTTGCCATCTTAAGTGAGATTCCAATTCAAAGGGAACGAACATGTTCGGTTCGAAGGGCACTGCAAACGGCATAGGGAATAAGGGAACATCGATACATCACTTCACAGGAAGTCAGTGAAGTCCACTTCAACTGATATACCGTGTTCAGGGAGTAGGGAGCAGTGAACACTTGTGTAGGGACCCTGTCGAATGGAACGCACCTCATGACACTATAATGATCATACAGTATAAGCGCTTGTGATGCTGTCAATCATAATTAGAGATAAACCTCGTCCGCAGCTTTCATGATGGCGTCTGCGATCTTTGGGTCCAAACCGTAATCTTTATTGACTTCTGCCGCGGCTTTCTTCAGAATCCCAAAGGCTTTGATCACCTGGATCTACAGGAAAAGGACAAACTCAGACACATAATCCCTAACACACTATAATTAATAATAATAATAATAATAATAATGTTGTTTCATGTCTCACTGGCATTCTCTCTGTAACTCCTCCGATCTTGAAGTTCATGGTTGATCTGACAGTTTGAGCTCCATAATATTTATCAGAAGGAACTTTGAGTTCTCCAAACGTGTCCCTCTCGATCCTGTACGACTCTGAACTGGCCTGGAATAACAACAATAACCTGTCAATCAATCATTTATGAATATGATTCTCATCCTTAAACAACGGATCAGTCTGATTTAATGAGCAGAAACTAATGCCGATGTTTCTCAATCACTGTAAATCACACCTCGAGAAAGAATTAAGTAGAAACACGCATTTATAATGTTTTGAAAAGCATACTTGAGTTATAATGCAGACACGTGACACACACATGTGTGATTTCTGAGGGCTTTAAAAGAACGATAAACATGAAGGTCATTCATCGGCCCGTCAGTTCAGCTCACATCTCAGTAAACACTGCAGAAACACAGGGATTTTACCATTCTAAGCGAGTTTTGCAGGAGTCCTGGCGCTGGCTGGATGCTCCGGGCGATGATGGATCTCTTCGGGGTCCAAAGCTTCGACAGATCCGCGCTGAAGCGCTGCAGTTTGCCAGCGGACCGATACATGGCGACTCTGGGGGCGGAACCGTTGCTCACCAACCAGAGCCCAGCGTCGGGGGGCGGACACTTATTAGTGGAACACTACACATTAGGGGGACACAATTACCGGCGACACCCATTGGATTATAATTAAAATCAGACTAAAATCAGCAACTAAACTTTTTTTCTTTTCTGTGGTTGTATGCGAATGTGATTTCTTAAAAATTAAAAATTGAACAAAGATCACAGGGGATACATCATGTATCACACACAAAAAATAGGAGACAAAACGCAAGGTAAAGCAAGACAGTAAAGATAGTCTATTAAACATACATAAATGAAACATAAAATAAATCAAAACAAATAAATAACTTCCGAATTTAAAAAAGTTTATTATACTTGTCCATTATTACTGTATTCATAAAGTCAAATGGAATGAAAAAACAATATCCAAATGTAAAAACATAAAAGCAAGGAAAACTACACAGCTGCTTAAATTTTAAATTTTCAGCTGCCTTTCTGTCTTTTTTCTCTATCTTCGTTTTCTTCCTTTTTGTTTACCCCTGAGTCCTGACATGTAACTTGTGGTAGCCTATATGTAGTACTCCTGTTCGTAAATTATGTTTTGTCCTTTTTAAAAGTCTTTCGTTTTAATAAATAACTTAATTTAATAATTAAATTTAAACAAAATGGCAATTAGACTGAAAAATTAGTGGCCCAGGTCTTGTTGCTAATTTTTCAGGTATGATTGATCTAAATCGATCTAAATGATTCGCTAGACAGAGGACTTTAATTGTGGAGTTCAGGCGCGATGACGTACGTAACTCTTCTCAGCGCTCTTCAGGATGGGCCAATCACAGCCGTCTGTGATTATTGCGTTGCACTTGATAGTAATCTTTCTGCAGACACTGCGCCCACGATTACTCGATTTCTGTGCTGATCACTGGTATTAATAAACTTAAACTATACTTTGTTGTCCACAAATGCCTCCAGTTAGACTTAAATCTAACTGAGATACGATTGCGCTTCTGGGCCTCAGCGCCACCTGGAGGAAGAGCATTGCCAACATTGAGCGCATGCGCACTTGTTGGTGGATCCCTCGATTTCTCACCACACTGTTTCTGTTTAACGCATTTTTTAAATTTATTACTATATCAAGCCAATATAATATGGTTATTCAGTTGAATGTTAGGCTTACTGGGTCACTCAACTGCTCCGTATTTTTAAATTATTATCATCATTACTACATCATTATTATTTATATATATTTTTTCTACCTTTACCAATATCCTCCACCAGAGGGCGACAACACACAGCTGAAACCCAGCAGAGACCCGCAATACAGAACAAACGCAAAAATGAGAAAATTCTTTATCTAGAGTGTTGTTGTTTATCATGTCTGCACTGGAATACGATCATCATGTTTTTACATTTAGCGCAAAAACAGGACAGAAGAGCATCAGTGTGTCGCTGGACTGTAAAACACACTCGAGGAGAGGGAGATCAGAATTTCCTCTGACTGATGTGTGTGTGTGTGTGTGTGTGTGTGTGTGTGTGTGTGTAATCGCCTGCTAATTGAAACCAATCGTGATCAATAGCGCCTAACGACTCTGATAAGAAGACTGGACTTTTAAATGACCGAAAATGACGAAATATGTTACGAATAAAAAGAGGAGAAGTGTGTGATTATTGATGTGGTTAATCAAACAGGCGCGTTTGGAGGTCACGCTGTTTCTGTACAGTGTGTGTGTGTGTGTGTGTGTGTGTGTGTGTGTGTGTGTGTGTGTGTGTGTGTGTGTGTGTGTGTGTGTGTGTGTGTGTGTGTGTGTGTGTGTGTGTGTGTGTGTGTGTGTGTGTGTGTGTGTGTGTTTCACGGCCTCTGGTCTGACGAGGCGCCGAGACTGTGACAGCAGATCAATCCGCAGCAATGATTGTCGAAGATCAAATATTAGCTGTTCCCAGATCAGCCTTTTGTGCATGATAAGTGACATTAGTCCGGGTTTTAAGGCCTGGAAAGAGCTTCAATCAGTCTGTGAGTAGATCAATGAAAAGTGCCTATTCATAGCGTGTTTCATTGTCACTGTAATGGGCTGATTATAATCGAGTAACTCTTTAGAGAAAATATAATTACTGAACATTTCCCGTGTGCAGATGTATATCGACATGCTTTCATTAGTGCGTATCATTTATTTAATCAGTTGTTCCAGTGAATGTTTCTCATGGGTTTATTTTTTATGTAATTTTCTGCTTTCTGACACGAACATTAAAGTTTTGAATTTGTATATTTATTTATTATTGCCTCCCTCATTTTCATGTGCGCGGAAAAGTAGGCTACCAATTAATAAATGTATAAATAAATCTGGAAATAAATACACATGGAAATAAATATACAATGCATATGGAACGCATAAATAATAAATAAAATGAAGAAAACTAACTGTTAAAATAAATATACAAAGTAAATAAAAATAAACAGAAAGTAGGCTAAAACAAAGATAAATTATTTAAAATTAATTATCTGTTTTATGAAGTCATTTATTCCTAATTTAGATTATTTATTATGGCCTCATTTGCACACGGAAAAGTACCAATAAATAGCCTAAATGTATAAATAAATCTGTAAATCAATACATAAAAATAATTGAACGCATAAATAAAATATCCGTAAAAATTAATACAAAGTAATACAAAAATAACGTATTTAAAAACAATTATTTGTTTTAATTATGTAATTTAATGAATTATTTAAAGTTTTGTCATTGAACTAATTAATTTGACTATAATTAAAATACTTACTATGGACTTTAAAATTTAATCGCTATTTTCTTCATCGTCACTAGTGAATTGAATTTCGGGCTGTGAATTACTCCCCTTTTGATTTACTTCAATGTAAAACTACAACTTCTGTTTTGAGGTAATTTTTTACAGTTCGAGAAAAAAAAAAATTTTCATCACAAACTGAATCCTTCATATAATGATATAAGCTACACTCTTAGAAGAAAATGTTCTATATAGAACCTTAAAAGGTTCTATCAGCGCTACGTATTTGGAACCCCTAAAAGGTTCTATACACTCTTAAAAAAAGGGTTCCTCTGGGTTCTATATAGAACCCTATAGGGTTCCTTACTTGGCCAATAGAACCTTTTACCAAAAAAAATGGTTCTATATAGAACCATTTTGGAGTTCCATATGAAGCGGGGGATGGAACCATTTCTGGTTCTAAATAGAACCATTTCTTCTAAGAGTGTATCCTATGAGGCTTTTCTTTAGTTATGCGACTTAAACGAAAATGATGTGAATACTTCGTCATGCTTTTACCAGTAATTTGATTCCGTAACGCGTTACAGTGTGTGTGTGAAAACAAGTTCTGTTTCTGTGTCATAACGAGTTTAATCCTTCATGTGGACCTAATAAAGTGCAATTAAATGATGAGGCTTTGTGTGACTTTAATAAAAATGTTCTGAGAGAGAAACCCTTAAATATCACATTCCGTTACTTGTAACGCGTTACAGCAGTCTGCGTGAAACCGAAATCCTTATTACGAGCCTAATGAATTGCTATTGGGCTTTGTGGGATTTTAATAAAAATGTTCTATTCTTCTTCTCTCAGATTCATGAACTCAGTTTCCAGGTGCATCCTGACTTTCCCCATTCATCTCATTCTTCTCGGAGAGCCAATCAGAGCTCGCATACCTGCAGGAAGTTTGACCCGTTACTCTCCTCCCTCAGTGAGGCATCATCACCTCCCTCGCCAGTGACCACACACACTCACAAACACACACACTCTCACTCACTCACTCAGAACACATGGACGCAGGAGCACAAGTGCACGCGCACTGACAGCAGCCCACCGAGAGCACACAATGCAGTTCCAGCACTCGCACGCGCATCTTTACGCGCCGACGCCCGCGCCGCCCGTCCACCCGACGCCCTTCTACATCGAGGACATTCTGGGCCGGAACGCGTGCGCGTCAGCCCCGCTCGCGCCGACGCCGACCCTGCCGTCCCCGAACTCGTGCTTCACCAGCCTGATCCCGTCCTACCGGACCCCGATCTACGAGCCCACGCCGATACACCCGGTCCTGACGCAGCACGCGCTCGCGGCGACCTACGCGTCCATCTACCCGTTCCAACGCTCCGTCGGAGACTTTACGCACGCGCTGATCCGACACGACCCGCTGGGTGAGACTGCAATCCTTTCTGTCATGTGTTGCTAATGCTGGGAATGTGCTTGCTGATAATATCATGTGCGGTGACATATTGAGGACTCACAAACCAACACTCTTAAAAAATAATTGAAATAAAGCATCTATGCAACCATTAAAGGTGGAAAGGGTTCTTTAGGGCATTAAAAGGTTCTTTACGGCATGTTCCTCACGTTGAACTGAGTACTGAACGATTCTGGAGTGACATCACTTTGTACTTGACAGCTTTAATTTTAATGGGATGTTTTTTTTTCTTTTTTTACAGTGAATAATTTGAGTAAAAAGTCTGATTCCGTTACCGCAGTCTGTATGAAAATATCATTATTTGTGTCATGGGCCTAGTGGAGTTGTGTTAATATATTATGAGGGTTTTTGGTTTAGTTTATGTTGGATTAAAAGAAAATATTCTGAGTGTGAAAGCGGATATTTAAATAAGTAATCTGATCCCGTTCATGCATTGCAAAAAACAAAAAACAACAACAAGATGTCTATGTAACATTAACAAGCTGAATCCTTCATGTGGGCATTAGGATATTGTATCAAATTATGATGCTTTGTGTGAATGTTTTGGGGGTGAATAATTCTTCAAGCAGAAACTTTAAAATTAGTAATCTGATTCCGTTACTTGTAACGCATAACCGCATTTATTACAGTTATGAAGGACCTTTAACATCCATGGATCCATTAAAGCTGGAAAATGATTCTTTGGATAGTTCAAATGTTCCTCACACTGAAATTGAACCAGAAATGCGAAATCATCCGTTTGAAAGCTTTATTTTTAAGTGGTTTGTCGCGGTTTTTATTATCATTGAACATTTCTTGCGGCGTAAACACGCAAACCAGCAAAAGTTCTTGTGTAACAACAACAACACAAATATGCTGTGCTTAATTCACTGGCTATTATATTGTGAAATTTCCTGAAAATCGGTTCCGTTTGGCGAAAGAAAGCTCCGATGTGAGGTGTGTTTACCAACAGCTCGTGGTTAATAATATCACCCAGACTGACCGAGGAGGAAGCGCTTCTTGATTTCGAAACTGCAGTTCAAAGCGCATTACTGTGACCCTGATCCTACATATCAACACGGAGGAGTCATGTGTGTGTGTGTGTGAGGAAGACTCCTCAGATGATGATGAGGAGGAGGAGGAAGATGAGGTAGATGAGGTTAAACTGCCTGTGTTCAGCAAACCCTGACCCTTTCCGTTCTCTCCGGAAGCCTTGAGTTCTCGATAGGAGTGTGTGTGTGTTTCAGAAGCTGAGATGTTTTCCTGGAGCAGGACTCGTGCGCGCTGCTGATTATTTTATCCACATCCTCAATACACACATATTCAGGAAACACTCGACTTCTGATAGCCGGGATCCGTTTTTTACAGATTGTTCGTTTCCTTTCAATGGGCTGAACCCTTTTAACAGCTCACACAACTGAACACACACTTCAGCCCACACGCAAATCAGAGGTCTGCTTATCAGAGTCTGCTTATGGCAAATATGGTTTAATTCATACAGCCGTTAAACATGTTTATCGTCTAATATATTTGAACAATTCTTCAGGTCATTACACTTTTTTATGGCCAATAAAATTGTTTTATGAACTTCGAGAAACGAATTATCGAGTAGAAGCTTTTCCCAAAACAAAAGCCTAAAAAAAACGGAGATCATAGAATTTGTATTAATGCAAATATGATTTGATTAATATATAAACGTGTTTAGCATATGCAGATATGTTTGAAATAAAATATTATAGGCTACATATATATATATATATATATATATATATATATATATATATATAAAATCAAACAAATCTCTAATTTATGTATATAATATATATAAATTAGTATATGGCTATACATAGAATAGTATACATAAATTTTATTATATTATAAAATTATATTTAGCCTACTAGATCCATACAAAACAATTTTTAAAAATACATTTATATATTTATATGTAATATATAGCCTATCTTGAATTGATGCCTGAAGTAAAACAAATATCACGAAGCGTGGAGTTTTATCCCATTCTATCACTTTGAATTTAATTACTGAGCACGACAATATTTAAGAATTTAGAGAAACTTAAAAAAAGAGTCATAATTACAGAAATGTTGTAAGTTTAAATAGATTAAAAAAAAGAAAAGAAAAAAATGTTGCTATACTCAATTTAAAACTGTAAAGTTGTTAGCGCGCGTTCCGAACGGGATGAATCTGGGTTTCCTGTGTGTGTGTGTGTGTGTGTGTGTGTGTGTTTGAGGATTATTGGACGGATGTTCAGATTAACCAACAGGAAACACATTGGCGGATATTTTGCCATAGTTTCTCTGCTCATAAACTCGAGCTTTCAACGGATGTTCGGCTGTCACACAGAGAGTCCGAGCAGATACTGAGCGTGTGTGTGTGTGTGTGTGTGTGTGTGTGTGTAGGGAAGCCCCTGCTGTGGACACCCTTCATCCAGAGGCCTCTCCACAAGAGGAAAGGCGGGCAGGTTCGGTTCTCCAACGACCAGACCATCGAGCTGGAGAAGAAGTTCGAGACCCAGAAGTATCTGTCTCCACCCGAGAGGAAGAGGCTCGCCAAGATGCTCCAGCTCAGCGAGAGACAGGCGAGCTTATCTTCATCCTCATCTTCACCTTCATCCTCATCTTTATCTTTACCTTCATCTTAATCTTCATCCCCACCTTCATCATCTTCACTTTCACCTTCATCAGGCCCTGCACGAGCGCTTCTCTGATCTGTGTTTTCATGACGTCATCTTTTACAGGTTAAAACCTGGTTCCAGAACCGGCGGGCGAAGTGGAGGAGACTGAAACAGGTGAGGGTCATTTCTCCGCGAAAACACCTGTCTGAAACCTCAAAGAGAGGCTACTGTGATCATAATATTAATAATAATAATAATAATAATAATAGGCCTAATAATAATGAATATTACGATCTTCCTAAAACATAAATAATAATAATAAGACAAAAGGAAAAAAAAATACAATCGCCTATAATAGCTAAGGGTGTCTTCTTTTGAAAGTCATAATCTTAATGTCCTTAATGTCCTATTGCAGCTTTATTTATTTTTCTTTTATTATTGTAGCCTATTTTTCATAAGTGTTGTTATTCATTATAGCAATAATTCGTTTTGGTAGTTTTCGTCGCTTGTGTAGAGATTTATAAATATAAATATAACAAATCTCAAAGATATTTTAAACGGCAAAAAAGAAAACATCTACTCGTCAAATTTATCATTTTATTGTTGTAATAGCCTACAAAATCATAGCCTATGTGTTATAATGTTCCTAAAATATAATTTAGTAATAGGATACTAGAAATTCTGTCTGTTCGTTTAAATAAAAAAACAACTAAAATAAAAATAAAACGAAACTCAAAAATATTTCAAATATAGCCTATTATTTTATAGTTGTATAAAATCCTATGTGTTATCTAGGCTAATGTTGCTCAAATATAATTTAGTTATAGGCTAATATAATGTCTGGCTGTTCGTTTGAATAAAATAAATTAAAAAAAAGAAATTAAACGAAAAATATTTCAGACGGTAAAAATATTACTCGTCAAATAGCCTACTTATTAGATATTAATAGCCTACTACATCCAGGTGTTATCATTAATTAGAATTTCTGACTGTTCGTTTTAAGCAAAAATAACCAAAACAAGAAATAATAAACGAAACGAAACTTTTAAACGGTAATAATTCTACGATAAATTATTTTACGAACTATTTATTCATAATCAGGCCTATTTTTAAAAATTGCAATTATAACTACTATCTAATTTCCTACATCTTTACACAAAATATTTACAATTAATATTTAGCTAATCACCAATTAATAGCCAATCTAAAATGTTTTCTTATTTCATATTTATTTGTAATTATTTTATCATTAAGTCAAGTCACATTTATTTATATAGTGCTTTTCACAATACAAATTGTATCAAAGCAGCTTCACAGTGATAACATGAAAGTAGTAGGCTACAACACAGATCAATAATATTGTAATTATGTAATAATAATAATAATGTGTAATAATAATTATGCCTTATATAGCGTAGGCTATACTAAAATATTGACAAATCGTATTCGCCTATCTAAAATGTTTTCTTATTGCCTATTTCTTTATAATTAGGCTATTCATCTTATTTTCAAAAAAAGAAAAAAAGACGTGAATTAGAAAATAAATTAAATTCACATAAAAGGCTCAAAACAGAATCCAAAGCTCAGTGTGTGTGTGTGTGTGTGTGAACAGGAGAACCCCGCGAGCGGCAGGAGAGACGCGGAGGACTCGGGCGAGCGCAGAAACTCCGACAGATCGAGTCCCGACGCGACTCGCGACTCCGACGCGTCCGACGACTCCGACCAGGAGCTGCTGGACATCGAAGAGGACTCGATCAACTCCATAAACCCGCAGTTATGAGTCCGTCAGGGCGCGCGCTGTAAATACTGTATCATAGCTACTGTACATTTGAGACGCAGCGTTAACTTAATGGATGTGTAGATTCTGATCTAGATGTCACGTGATGAAGCTGTGTCTGTGTTGTGGCGGGACATTGTTATGTGTTGTAAATATTGTGTTATTCAATAAACAATATTTTTTGGGGAGAACGCGTGTCTGTCTGCTATTATAGCCTATTTTTATTTCCACATTCAAATAAAGGAGTGACAAACAATGAAACGGTTTTTAAGTGCATCATTAATAAGGCGAGTGATGTCATTTCCTTTATCTGATGTGAACACAATAGAGCCATGATAAATGATCACTTGTGTTATTAGTTTTATCAGTGTTATTAGTGTTTTATCTGTTCATCCACAATCCTCCTGATGGAGTCATCATGTAAGATTATCTGTTAGTCATTAAAATCAATTAAACTCTATCGCTTCCTGAATGAAACAACAGCTCTGAGATCAGCACAACAGTTTCTGCGCGCTATCAGTCTCTCCAGGACAAACAGCCTCGAGTTCCTGATAATCATGCGGTTAATCATTGGAAAACTGCGATGAATGAGAGAGAGAGAGTTCAATAGCCTCGCGAGAGAGAGTGATCCTGATCCAAAACCAACAGCAGGATCATCGACATCGGCTGAATTGAGCAATGCTTCACAGGTCCGAGAACAGTGTGTGACTGACACCGCGGCATTATTGCGTTATTCGGGGAAAACAAACAAATATCACACAGAAATTGCTAGTAAATAATTACAAACAATTACAAACAAAAGGCACACACTGAATTGAACGTGACAATTTGAAGTAAAATAAACATAAAAAATAAATATATAAATACAAATGCCTATATACAGATATAATCAAAGAAAAACTAAATAAATAAATAATGTTAAATATCAGTATATGAGTGTGTGTTTGTCTTCAAATAAAAAAACATAAATTAAAATAATATAGGCCTATATAATAATAGAATATATATATATATATATATATATATATATATATATATATATATATATATATATATATATATATGACTAGAATAAAACAACAATTTAGATAATAATATACATACACTCTAAAAAATGCTGGGTTGTTACAACCCAAATTTGGGTAAAATATGGACAAACCCAAATGTTGGGTTCAAATGTAAATAAAAAATTTGAAGTTGAAAGTGAAAGTTGAAGTTGGGTTAAAATTTTAAATTACATTTTTAACCCAATATTTGGGCTTGTCCATATTTGACGCAAATTTGGGTTGAAACAACCCAGCATTTTTTAGAGTGTAGAATATAAATATACATCGAATTAAAACGAGTAGTATAGGCCTAATGAAATAATTTTAATTATCTATTTGTTTTGTCTCCACACACAAATAAAAAATCCGATAAAAAATGTAATTATTGTATGATATAGGCTATATATATATATATATAACCCTAACCCTATATATATATATATATATATATATATAGAGAGAGAGAGAGAGAGAGAGAGAGAGAGAGAGAAATTAAATATATATAAAATGGAGACAAATATTAATAGCTAAATAAACAAAAAAATTATATTTATTAATTTATTTATTTTCATAGCAATTTTATTTTATATAATTTATTTATAATTTATTTTATTTTAACATCCATTCATCTTGTTTTCTTTTACAAAAAGCTTATAGAACATATGGAGACTTTTGCAGAAGTAACAATTCAAAGAAACAAAAGCGTTAACAAGATGTCCATTACTGTTCAGATGTTCTTCAGGGTCTCACACTCAAACACACACACACACACACACACACACACACACACACACACACACACACACACACACACACACACACAAAGCTCAATACCAATATATATATATATATATCACGTTCAAGCTGGTTTATTGCCGTCATCGGCTGTCCTCACTGACCCTCCAGTGCCGTTTGGAGACGAGATATTTACGATCTCCCGCTGTTGATGTGAGTTTACACAGTCGCCATTTTACAGCACACACACTGAAGCAGAAACTCATCCTGACCGAGATATAAAAGCCTGAATTAGGCCTAATTGAAAAGCAAATAACACACTCGAGTGCACAATAAGGGTCTGAGTGATGTCCCCCGAGCCGCCGGAGGAATGCCCTCCTCAGCCTCCTCTCCCCGGGCCCGAAGGCCGACGGCGGGCGGAGCCTCCAGAACAACTGCGCAAATATTGACCCGCGGCCGGACACGCTCGGCTCGGACCCGCGCTGATCGCTCCAGCACACCGATTAGCCGGACTCTTCAGCCTCATTACTGCCCTGCTGTGTGTGTGTTTAAACTCCAATCAGTCTTTTCCATGATGGCAGACTTCTGGGCTCTTAATGGCCTGTTTGTTCCTCAGATGAAAGCGGTTATGAAGGAGTGTGTGATGGAGAGAGAGAGACAGAGAGGGGGAGAGAGACACCAGCCTGATTTATTCATCCTGTTAGTGATACACGTGATAACAAGTCTTCCATTAAAGATTATGGATACAGTGATTAGGCCTTTCCAAAGCAATTAGGGCCTCTCTCTCTCTCTCTCTCTCCCTCTCTCTTTCCCTCTCTCCCTCCCTCTCCCTCTCTCTTTCCCTCTCTCCCTCCCTCTCCCTGCTGTAGTGACACACACACACACACTGCGACTGTAACAGCAATGAAACGAGCCTGTAAACACAAATGTAATACTTGTTTCTTTTGGGTACATGTTTCTTGGGGGACGTTTCAATGTTTTCAGCTATTTATTGGTTTTTTAGAATATTAGAAAAAGGATCTGTGTAGAATTGATCACTGAGAGGTTGTTTGGTTCTGCTAAATCTCTATTTAAGAGTGTGTAACCAGAGCAAAAGAATATTACTTATGAAATGATGCATTTTATTTGAGTTCATCGAGTTTGTCGTCATTATATACAAACTGGTCTATGATCAGTGTTCTTTCATAGCTAAGTAAAAGTGCGTGTGTGTGTGTGTGTGTGTGTGTGACGTTTCAGGTGAGTGTTTTCACAGCACTTCTTACTCTCAGACATCTTTGGGTTTTTGTCATCCTCGTTCTTCTTTTGTCCTTTCTTTTCTCTTCTCTTTCATGGGTTTGTCGTGTTTCAGCGTCACACACACACTCACACACACTCACACACACTCAGCGGCGTCTCCGTGATTCTCAGCGCAAACAGAGACTCATTAATTTATCAGCCTCAGATAAATAGTGTCCATGTACTCAAGGTCGACGGTCACACACACACACACACACACACACACACACACACACACACACACACACACACACATACTCTCAGGCACACACACACACACACACACACACTCAGTTGCTGGGTTAAACCTCATATAACAAAAAACACTTTCAGAAGTACACATATTTGCTAGCTGTGATTTGTTATTTTTCAAAAGCAGCTCAAACAGCATTTTAAGCTCCTGTCCCAGTGTGTGTCTCAGTGAAATAAAATATGACAAACAAGACTAAATATAAATATTTATATATATTTATGTATAAATATACATAAATAGATGGATGGATGATAGATAGATACAGTTACAGTAGTTACCATAGTTACAGAAGGTCAGGTGTACAGTAGTTACCATAGTTACAGAAGGTCAGGTGTACAGTAGTTACCGTAGTTACAGTATGTCAGGTGTACAGTAGTTGCCGTAGTTACAGTATGTCAGGTGTACAGTAGTTGCCGTAGTTACAGTAGGTCAGGTGTACAGTAGTTGCCGTAGTTACAGTATGTCAGGTGTACAGTAGTTGCCGTAGTTACAGTATGTCAGGTGTACAGTAGTTGCCGTAGTTACAGTAGGTCAGGTGTACAGTAGTTACCGTAGTTACAGTAGGTCAGGTGTACAGTAGTTGCCGTAGTTACAGTAGGTCAGGTGTACAGTAGTTACCGTAGTTACAGTAGGTCAGGTGTACAGTAGTTGCCGTAGTTACAGTAGGTCAGGTGTACAGTAGTTGCCATAGTTACAGTATGTCAGGTGTACAGTAGTTGCCGTAGTTACAGTAGGTCAGGTGTACAGTAGTTGCCGTAGTTACAGTAGGTCAGGTGTACAGTAGTTGCCGTAGTTACAGTAGGTCAGGTGTACAGTAGTTACCGTAGTTACAGTAGGTCAGGTGTACAGTAGTTACCGTAGTTACCGTAGGTCAGGTGTACAGTAGTTGCCGTAGTTACAGTATGTCAGGTGTACAGTAGTTGCCGTAGTTACAGTAGGTCAGGTGTACAGTAGTTGCCGTAGTTACAGTATGTCAGGTGTACAGTAGTTGCCGTAGTTACAGTATGTCAGGTGTACAGTAGTTGCCGTAGTTACAGTATGTCAGGTGTACAGTAGTTGCCGTAGTTACAGTAGGTCAGGTGTACAGTAGTTGCCGTAGTTACAGTATGTCAGGTGTAGAGTAATTGCCGTAGTTACAGTAGGTCAGGTGTACAGTAGTTGCCATAGTTACAGTATGTCAGGTGTACAGTAGTTGCCGTAGTTACAGTAGGTCAGGTGTACAGTAGTTGCCATAGTTACAGTAGGTCAGGTGTACAGTAGTTGCCGTAGTTACAGTAGGTCAGGTGTACAGTAGTTACCGTAGTTACAGTAGGTCAGGTGTACAGTAGTTGCCGTAGTTACAGTAGGTCAGGTGTAGAGTAGTTGCCATAGTTACAGTGGGTCAGGTGTACAGTAGTTGCCGTAGTTACAGTAGGTCAGGTGTAGAGTAGTTGCCATAGTTACAGTGGGTCAGGTGTACAGTAGTTGCCGTAGTTACAGTAGGTCAGGTGTAGAGTAGTTGCCATAGTTACAGTAGGTCAGGTGTACAGTAGTTGCCGTAGTTACAGTAGGTCAGGTGTACAGTAGTTACCGTAGTTACAGTAGGTCAGGTGTACAGTAGTTGCCATAGTTACAGTAGGTCAGGTGTACAGTAGTTACCATAGTTACAGTAGGTCAGGTGTACAGTAGTTGCCGTAGTTACAGTAGGTCAGGTGTACAGTAGTTGCCATAGTTACAGTATGTCAGGTGTAGAGTAGTTGCCATAGTTACAGTAGGTCAGGTGTACAGTAGTTGCCGTAGTTACAGTAGGTCAGGTGTAGAGTAGTTGCCATAGTTACAGTGGGTCAGGTGTAGAGTAGTTGCCATAGTTACAGTAGGTCAGGTGTACAGTAGTTGCCATAGTTACAGTATGTCAGGTGTAGAGTAGTTGCCATAGTTACAGTAGGTCAGGTGTACAGTAGTTGCCGTAGTTACAGTAGGTCAGGTGTACAGTAGTTGCCATAGTTACAGTATGTCAGGTGTACAGTAGTTGCCGTAGTTACAGTAGGTCAGGTGTAGAGTAGTTGCCATAGTTACAGTAGGTCAGGTGTAGAGTAGTTGCCATAGTTACAGTAGGTCAGGTGTAGAGTAGTTGCCGTAGTTACAGTAGGTCAGGTGTACAGTAGTTGCCGTAGTTACAGTAGGTCAGGTGTACAGTAGTTGCCATAGTTACAGTATGTCAGGTGTACAGTAGTTGCCGTAGTTACAGTAGGTCAGGTGTAGAGTAGTTGCCATAGTTACAGTATGTCAGGTGTACAGTAGTTGCCATAGTTACAGTATGTCAGGTGTACAGTAGTTGCCGTAGTTACAGTAGGTCAGGTGTAGAGTAGTTGCCGTAGTTACAGTAGGTCAGGTGTACAGTAGTTGCCATAGTTACAGTATGTCAGGTGTACAGTAGTTGCCGTAGTTACAGTAGGTCAGGTGTAGAGTAGTTGCCATAGTTACAGTATGTCAGGTGTACAGTAGTTGCCGTAGTTACAGTAGGTCAGGTGTAGAGTAGTTGCCGTAGTTACAGTAGGTCAGGTGTACAGTAATATCTGAGTTTACAGAGTTACGCTGTGTTTAATATGAACAGGAAATATTCCTCTCGTCTCAAACAAGAAACTGGAGTCATAAACGCCTCGTTTGCACACGACACCGTTACTGTATCAGCGCTGGAACGCCTCAGTCACACACTCTTATCTCAGGTGTGTGTGTGAGTGTGTAGCAGAGAGAGTGTGTGTGTGTGTGTGTGTGAGAGTGTGTGTAGCAGAGAGAGAGTGAGTTGAGTACCTCGTTCAGGATGGTGAAGTGGAGGAACATCAGACTGCCGTCTGGACCTGAAGAGCTGCGGTTCCTCACGGCTGGCTCCTGTCATCCAAGGGTTCAGACACACACACACACACACACACACACACAGTTGATGAACAGCTTGATGAAGCAAAAGGAAAGACATTTTGAAACAGGTCTCAATTTTATATATATATATACTCAATAAACACGTTTGTTCAATGACCTTGATTAAGTGACGGACTGCTTTCACACACACACACGAGTTCCTGTCGCTCTGAACGCTTCAGTCGGGGTTTTTCATGTGTGTATTTTTGAGAAGAGATCTTTCTCTCTTGCGCTGTTGACTCTATACACAAAGCAAATAAATCCTGTGCTTGGACACACACTGAATCACTCACACACACACACACACACACACACACGCACAGTTTCCTCAGTAATGCAGGGCTGTGTCTCAGTGATGACAGAGAGAGAGTGTTGTTCAAGGCTCTGCTGTAAGTGCTCGCTCTGCCGTCCTCAGACGATTAATCCGCGGCACAGGAAGTTATTCCTGCATGTATGTTTCCACAAATACTGTTATTGGGAGACTCAGGGCTACGAACAATGGAGGCTAATTTGTTTTGCTTCCCCTTTGGCCCACGGCGGGCTGTGAAAACACAGATGAGAATGTGAGGAAACGCTCTTAAATTAGGGCTGAGGAACGCCGGCCGGCCGACCAGCAGATTCAGTGAACACACACACACACACACACACACACACACACACGTTTAAAACCTCACTTCAACAGCAGAATGAGAGGTTTAGCTGAAGAAGCTCTTCTGGATCAGAGAAGTCTCCTGATGATTAAGTTATTACGAGCTAATAGTGTTACAGGCTTTATGAATCATGATTATGAGCTAAAAAGTCATAATTAAGATATTAAAAGTCAAAATGACTGCATACTAAACCATAATTATGATAGAAAGTCAAAATTTTTGGCTTAAAATGCATAATTATGACTAGAAGTTGAAACACAGATGAGAATGTGAGGAAACGCTGTCAAAATTAGGGTTGAGGAACGCCGGGCGACCAGCAGATTCAGTGAACACACACACACACACCACACACACACACACACAGCTGAAGGCCTGAAGAAGCACTTCTGTCTTGTAATGCTGAAGTTATTATGAGGTGATGATAGTGTAACAGGCAGAAACAAACTCTTCGAGGTGAGATGATGGCGCCTCTAGAGGAAACACACGGAACTGCATCAGGTGTGTGTGTGTGTGTGTGTGTGTGAAACAGCTTTCGAAGGCCATGTCCAGCACATTAGTGTATCATCGTTATCAGCTAAAAACTCATTTATTGAT